ATTTGGCACTTTACTTTTAATTTGGCACTTTACTTTTAATTTGGCACTTTACTTTTAATTTGGCTGTGAAGATAACTATTTAACACTTGTTAACTTCAGAGCTAACAAATGCCAACTGGTTACCAGAGTAGATGTACTCATTGTAAATTTCTTCTGATCAATTTTTCCTGTAGATATGAGCGTGAGGAAGCGTTCATGGCACTGAACCTGGGAGTGACATCCTGCCAAAGCCTGGAGATTTCACTGGATCAGTTCGTGCGAGGCGAGGTCCTTGAAGGAGGCAATGCATACTACTGTGAGAAGTGTAAAGAAAAGGTAAAATTACTGAAGATCATCCAAGTTTTTATGAAAGTGTGGCAATTTGTATTGAATAATCAAATTACTTTGATCAATGAGGTAGCAAGAACTGCAGATGCTGGAGTCAGAGATAACACGTTGTGGAGCTAGAGGAACATAGCAGATTAGGCAGCATCAGAGAGCAGGAAAGTTGACGTTTCTAGTCGGGACCCTTCTTTCAGAGATTTCTGAAGAAGGGTTCCGACCCGAAACGTCAACTTTCCTGTTCCTCTGATGCTGCCTGGCCTGCTGTGTTCCTCCAGCTCCATAATGTGTTATCCCTTACTTTGATCAGTACTTGATGCTGAGACACCATATGTTTATAACTACCACCAATCCCGAGGCAATGTTTACGCAGTCTACCCTCCAACCAAAAAAAAAGTGATGCTCACCAACTTTCCTCTTCCAACCTCCCCAAAGTGTTCACACATTCCCTTTCCCCATTCCCGACTTGTCCTCTGGCTCTTGCCTAGCTGATGCCAGAAGACTTTGCATTGTTGGGTGCAAAAAAAATTTCCTAACTATTGGAAGAATTGAAAGTGAAAAATTCAGCAACAAAGACTTGAAATTTGAGTCTGGGTATGATGAGAGCGTATCTGAAGTCTGCATGTCGGTAGTCTTATACACTATGGCAGTAGAATTGAATTTGTTTAGATTAAGCCCACCAAAATCTATGAAAGACACACCTAGGCTGGAAAAAGTTACAGAGAGAAGGTTTTGCAAGGCCGAAGAAGGATTTGAGAAAGAGGATGAGTTCAACCTTCGAGAGGGTTAGGCTATAAGACCCCAATATTGTTCTTGAAAAACAGGTTTGATAAACAAGCAGGACTTAGTTTGGGACAGGATGCAGGTGGCTCTATTTGGCTCCATTGGCAGCATATGAATATGAGCTAGAGGTTGTCAGTGTTTGACAGAGGTAAATTTTCAGTCTTGGGGAAATGAGAAAGCAATTACTTGATCTTGGAGACAAAAACATGCATAGCTTGAATACATTTTAAAGATGATGGTTAGCATTCAGACAGAATCTTTTATCAGATTGTTTGATAACTTTGCCATACCACTCCATATGCACACTTTTTAAACTCTCCATTCTATTTGACTAGTGACCATCTTGTTTGTTTCTCACCCTCTACAGATACCTTTGAGTCCAAATTACAATGGCTGTATCCAGCCCCACTGAGTCCAGCCTGTCTTTCGTTCTTTTCATGCAAAGCAGTATTAGGTTTCTGTACCCAAATAGATGTCCTTTCTGTTCATGGGTTTGAAAAAAGGTGCTTGGAGTCACAGACTGATTTTATACTGTATCCACCTGATAATTTAAAAATGAAAGAAAAGATTGGATTGTTCAGCTGCAATTTCTTGCTTGTGATTTTTATATTTTGAGTATTGGAGAAATATTTCTACCAGCAGACTGCTTGCTGTGTATTATTGTCTGACAACCAGAACATGCAAGATATTTTGTGAAATAAGACCTAACAAAATGTCAGGCCTTCTCTGTAATGAGTTACAGGAAAAAAAAATACCTATTTCAATATGATGCTTGTTCATAAGACAGTGTGACATTAATCCAAAAAATCTAAGAAATCTGTGGAAGAAATTTTAAAAGCAACTAATTGCAGCTGTGTTGAGGACAATTGAAGAGAACTCCTTTTTGTTACTGTCAATTTCTGGCGCCTTAACTTCATAGAGTTTCAGAAGTTGAACCACATGTAACATAGCGCTGCTTTCTTTTTGTTTTGCTGTCACGTGTAACTGCAGCTTGAGCGTTCAACCCTGTCACCGCTCCAAACAAAGACCACCTACTCTTATTTGACTCCACTGTTTCTCAAGGCTGTCACTGAAACTCTCCTCCATTATCATCTACGAACTCAACTATTTGACACTTTTCTAGGCAACTTCACATTCTTGAACCTCCATAACTCAAAATGTTGATAGTTCTGTTGTCCATTTCCAATCCATATCAGGTCCTGTCCTTCATTCACCTCATCCTTTGGTCCCTAGTTTTCCGACCTAAACCCCAGTTAACATTCACTGTGTTTATTTGAATTTCTTATTATGCTTCCCTCTCACTGTCACCTCCTCCAGCACTACAACCTCTTTTCTTTTGACAAGAACCTCTTGGGCATTTTTTCCTGCCTTCACCCCAGCATTAATAGCTGTACCTTCAAGCAATTGAAGACCACACACCCTGAAATTCCTCCCTGAATCTCTCAAGTTCCTTGTTTTCCTTTTTTTGAGACCTTTCTTTGATCAAGCTTTTTGTCATCTTTCCCAATGTTTATTTATTAACTTGGAATTAAGTCGTACATTGGGATAATTCCCACATTCAAGACAGAGTATCAAAGTAGAATATTGTTATAAGTTAAAAATTGTGGAGTTAAGTCTTGTTATGCTCAAGTGTTCATGTTTTTGTTTTGCTGTAATAACTATTAGTAGATGTATTTAATGGAGACAGAACAATGGATTTTTCCTTTTGTATGGGAATGTCGATTTACATTCATCCCTTTTGTGTTTTTGTATCCAGAGGACAACAGTGAAGCGCATGTGCATAAAGTCTCTACCTAGTGTGTTAGTCATCCATTTAATGAGATTTGGGTTCGATTGGGAAAGTGGACGTTCTATCAAGTACGATGAACAAATACGGGTAAATGTGTAGCCTCCATATGGTGCTAATTCTAAACAGACAAAATAAAATCAGAAACAGTAATAAATTCTTATACGTTCCAAATTTGAAAAGTGTCATCATCGAAGTGCACAAAGTCATAGTACAATCTGACGAGTTTGTAGTTTGAGAGATAGACGGCTGTTGCCATGATGTGGTGTCATGATGTGACCATCTGGTTGGAGGTTCAGTGCATATTGAGAATGACCTGAAATGTTTATGAACTTCTTGGTGCATGTCTCATGCTAAGTATTGTTCTTCTGCCTGTGCTATGTTAAAATAAATGTCTTATCGTTTATAGCCCGAATGTTTGTCTAACAGAGTGATCGTTGTCTGTTAAAACTGGAGAGAATCATATTGTAGGAGCAGCACATTTCCACTGAATAATTGTTTAGTGACTACAGTTGTCTTTTGATCTCATGATCTCAATATGATTTACCATATATTGGACTGAACCTGTGATTTATAATGTACAGTTATGGGTCGATGATAACAAAACCAGTGTTCAATAAGTAATGTAAAACCCAAAAACTTAGCTTTTCAAAAGGCCAAGCATCTCCGCCTGGCCTGTAACGGCCAACCTAACTTCCTGGTCACTGCCCATTTCAACTCCCCACCCCACTCCCTCTCCAACATGTCCGTTCGTGGCCTCCTCCAGTGTTGCAGCAACTCGGAACGCACATTTGAAGAACAACACCTTATCTTCTGTCTGGGCACTCTACAGCCCGGAGTACTCAACATTGAGTTCTCCAATTTCAAAAGACCTTCCCACCCATCCCCCATCTTCCCTTCCATTCCACCTTCTGACCCTCCCTTCCAGCCACTAATCAGATTTATCACCCCCGTTTACCAACCAGGTCATACCTACCACCAGTGTCCATCTATCACCACCATACCACCTCCATTGCTGCACCCCCAACCTCCCCTTTATCTGCAGCTCCCTCTACCCTCACAACCAGCCCTGAAGAAGGGTAAGACCCAAAACGTTGACTGCTCCTTTCCTCCAGATGCTGCCTGGCCTGCTGTGTTCTTCCAGCCTCCTGTTTGTCTATCTTTTCTAAAAATAAATTGTCTTGATGTACACAACATTTTTTTGTTTTTTGGATGTGGGCATTGCTGGCTGAGTTGGTATTCATTGCCCATCTCTATTTCCCCCTTGAACTGAGTGGTTTGTTAGGACCATTTCAGAGGAACAGCTAAGAGGCCATGGGGTACAGGTCTCTGGCACAGAGTCTGTCCCTGTTGCTCAGAAGGGAAGGGGGGAGAGGAGGAGAGCATTAGTCATTGGGGACTCCATAGTTAGGGGGACAGATAGGAGATCCTGTGGGAACGAGAGAGACTCGCGGTTGGTGTGTTGCCTCCCAGGTGCCAGGGTCCGTGATGTCTCGGATTGTGTTTTCGGGATCCTTAGGGGGGAGGGGGAGCAGCCCCAAGTCGTGGTCCACATAGGCACCAACGACATAGGTAGGAAAAGGGATGGGGACGCAAGGCAGAAATTCAAGGAGCTAGGGTGGAAGCTTAGAGCTAGAACAAACAGAGTTGTTATCTCTGGTTTGTTACCCGTGCCACGTGCTAGCGAGGCGAGGAATAGGGAGAGAGAGCAGTTGAACACGTGGCTACAGGGATGGTGCAGAAGGGAGGGATTCAGATACCTGGATAATTGGGGCTCATTCTGGGGTAGGTGGGACCTCTACAAATGGGATGGTCTACACCTGAACCAGAGGGGTACCAATATCCTGGGGGGGAAATTTGCTAATGCTGTTCGGGAGGGTTTAAACTAATTCAACAGGGGGGTGGGAACCTGAATTGTAGCTCCAGTGTACAGGAGGTTGAGAGTAGTGAGGTCATAAATAAGGTTTCAAGGTCGCAGGAGTGTACCGGCAGGCAGGAAGGTGGTTTGAAGTGTGTCGACTTCAATGCCAGGAGCATCCGGAATAAGGTGGATCAACTTGCAGCATGGGTTGGTACCTGGGACTTCGATGTTGTGGCCATTTCGGAGACATGGATAGAGCAGGGACAGGAACGGTTGTTGCAGATTCCGGGGTTTAGATGTTTCAGTAAGATCAGGGAAGGTGGTAAAAGAGGGGGAGGTGTGGCATTGTTAGTCAAGGACAGTATTACAGTGGCAGAAAGAACGTTTGATGACAACTCGTCTACTGAGGTAGTATGGGCTGAGGTTAGAACCAGGAAAGGAGAGGTCACCATGTTGGGAGTTTTCTATAGGCCTCCGAAAAGTTCCAGAGATGTAGAGGAAAAGATTGCAAAGATGATTCTGGATAGGAGCGAAAGTAACAGGGTAGTTGTTATGGGGGACTTTAACTTTCCAAATATTGACTGGAAACGCTATAGTTCGAGTACTTTAGATGGGTCAGTTTTTGTCCAATGTGTGCAGGAGGGTTTCCTGACACAGTATGTAGATAGGCCAACAAGAGGCGAGGCCACATTGGATTTGGTACTGGGTAATGAACCAGGCCAGGTGTTAGATTTGGAGGTAGGAGAGCACTTAGGTGATAGTGACCACAATTCAGTTACGTTTACTTTAGCGATGGAAAGGGATCGGTATATAACGCAGGGCAAGAGTTATAGCTGGGGGAAAGGCAATTATGAGGCGATGAGGCAAGATTTAGGATGCATAGGATGGAGAAGGAAACTGCAGGGGCTGGGCACAATTGAAATGTGGAGCTTGTTCAAGGAACAGCTACTGTGTGTCCTTGAGAAGTATGTACCTGTCAGGCAGGGAGGAAGTGGTCGAGCGAGGGAACAGTGGTTTACTAAAGAAGTTGAATCTCTTGTCAAGAGGAAGAAGGAGGCTTATGTAGAGATGAGGCATGAAGGCTCAGTTAGGGCGCTTGAGAGTTACAAGTTAGCCAGGAAGGACCTAAAGAGAGAGCTAAGAAGAGCCAGGAGGGGACATGAGAAGTCTTTAGCAGGTAGGATCAAGGAAAACCCTAAAGCTTTCTATAGGTATGTCAGGAATAAAAGAATGACTAGAGTAAGATTGGGCCTGGTCAAGGACAGTAGTGGGAAGTTGTGCGTGGAGTCCGAAGAGATAGGAGAGGTGCTAAATGAATATTTTTCGTCAGTATTCACACAGGAAAAAGACAATGTAGTCGAGGAGAATACTGAGATACAGTCTATTAGACTAGACGGGATTGAGGTTCATAAGGAGGAGGTGTTAGCAATTCTGGAAGGTGTGAAAATAGATAAGTCCCCTGGGCCGGATGGGATTTATCCTAGGATTCTCTGGGAAGCTAGAGAGGAGATTGCAGAGCCTTTGTCTTTGATCTTTATGTCGTCATTGTCTTCAGGAATAGTGCCAGAAGACTGGAGACTAGCAAATGTTGTCCCCTTGTTCAAGAAGGGGAGTAGAGACAACCCTGGTAATTATAGACCAGTGAGTCTTACTTCGGTTGTGGGTAAAGTGTTGGAAAGGATTATAAGAGATAGGATTTATAATCATTGAGAAAGGAATAATTTGATTAGGGATAGTCAACACGGTTTTGTGAAGGGTAGGTCGTGCCTCACAAACCTTATTGAGTTCTTCGAGAAGGTGACCAAACAGGTGGATGAGGGTAAAGCGGTTGATGTGGTGTATTTGGATTTCAGTAAAGCATTTGATAAGGTTCCCCATGGTAGGCTATTGCAGAAAATACGGAGGCATGGGATTGAGGGTGATTTAGCGGTTTGGATCAGAAATTGGCTAGCTGTAAGAAGACAGAGGGTGGTGGTTGATGGGAAATGTTCATCCTGGAGTTCAGTTACTAGTGGTGTACCTCAAGGATCTGTTTTGGGGCCACTGCTGTTTGTCATTTTTATAAATGACCTGGATGAGGGCGTAGAAGGATGGGTTAGTAAATTTGCGGATGACACCAAAGTTGGTGGAGTTGTGGATAGTGCGGAAGGATGTTGCAGGTTACAGAGGGACATAGATAAGCTGCAGAGCTGGGCTGAGAGATGGCAAATGGAGTTTAATGCGGAAAAGTGTGAGGTGATTCTCTTTGGAAGGAGTAACAGGAATACAGAGTACTGGGCTAATGGTAAGATTCTTGGTAGTGTGGATGAGCAGAGAGATCTCGGTGTCCATGTGCATAGATCACTGAAAGTTGCCACCCAGGTTGATAGCGTTGTTAAGAAGGCATACAGTATGTTAGGTTTTATTGGTAAAGGGATTGAGTTTCGGAGCCATGAGGTCATGTTGCAGCTGTACAAAACTCTGGTGCGGCCGCACTTGGAGTATTGCGTACAGTTCTGGTCACCGCATTATAGGAAGGATGTGGAAGCATTGGAAAGGGTGCAGAGGAGATTTACCAGGATGTTGCCTGGTATGGAGGGAAGGTCTTATGAGGAAAAGCTGAGGGTCTTGAGGCTGTTTTCGTTAGAGAGAAGAAGGTTAAGAGGTGACTTGATAGAGACATACAAGATGATCAGAGGATTAGATAGGGTGGACAGTGGGAGCCTTTTTCCTCGGATGGTGATGGCTCGCACGAGGGGACATAGCTTTAAATTGAGGGGTGATAGATATAGGACAGATGTCAGAGGTAGGTTCTTTACTCAGAGAGTAGTAAGGGCGTGGAATGTCCTGCCTGCAAACATAGTAGATTCGCCCACTTTAAGGGCATTTAAATGGTCATTGGATAAACATATGGATGATAATGGAATAGTGTAGGTTAGATGGGCTTCAGATTGGTTTCACAGGTCGGCGCAACATCGAGGGCCAAAGGGCCTGTACTGCGCTGTAATGTTCTATGTTCTATGTTCTAGATTGCTGTCAGTGAGGAGACACATGGGTAAGGATGGCATATTTCCTTCTCTCATGGATATTCACTGAACCAGATGGGTCCTTAACAACAACTGATGATGGTTTCATTGCACCAGATTCCAGACATATTAATTGAATTTAAATGCCACCAGCTGTCATGGTGGAATCTTAGTCCTTCACTTTATCATACTCACCATCACATTCAATTTGTTCTGAATTTGGAAAATAATATCTGCACCTTCGGACCAATAAAATCAAAGGAAAAAACAAAGGCCAGCTGTTTAACAAAATCTCCTGAAAGGGGAATGTAGCTTCAGAAAGTATTTTGTGACTCTAATCTCCTATTCAGAGATGATCTGAGTTAAGAATTTAATTGCTCACTGAGTCAATACATTTATTTATTACAAATCGGTTTATTCAGGCAATATATATGTAACTTGCATGAGTTCAGGACTATTTCACAACTCACCTCCATTTACTTCTGTCTTAACTTACTAGTTTCCTTGGCTTTTAAACATGGAACCGTATACTGTGTCTGGGATGGCACGACAAGAGCATTCTTCTGAGCATGGTGAAAATGGCAAAGCAGGTGACCACTTGGGTGGAGGCTCTCCTCGAAAGAAAGGTGCGCCAACTGAAAACTATGAGCTGGTTGGAGTGATTGTTCATAGTGGCCAGGCACATGCTGGGCACTATTACTCATTCATTAAGGATAGGAGGTGAGTGAAAGATTTAAGAAACAGAATATTTTTTGATCCCATTGGACTGTTAATTTTGAAATATAAAAATTAGGAATTTTACAGGACTGCATCTGATCAGAGTTAATGAATAACTTGCTGTGCGCCACATTTGGTTTGGTTCTGAGCTTACATCTACTTTTTTTGATTCTACAGGACTGGTGGCAAAGGAAAATGGTACAAATTCAATGACACCGTGGTGGAAGAGTTTGATCTAAATGATGAGACATTGGAGTTTGAATGTTTTGGTGGAGAGTATAGACCTAAAGTGTACGATCAATGTAAGTTAGTTTGAAGCTCTATAAGTAATCAAGAATTTGTTCCTTCCTTAAATGTGCGTTCTGCTGAATTGAGGTTTTGGCTAACTAAGGGTGAGGTTGAAAGGACAAAGGCAAGAAAATAAAAATAAAAGCAAAACCCCCATTGATTTCTCAGTCTATATTAAGGGACAATTAACAGGGATGAGTGCAAAAGACATGTATGCAAATGTATTTTGGCAAAGCTTAAAGATTGTTGGCAGAATGGAGATGGTGTACAGAAGACCACTGAAATTCCAATCTAATTCTGTAAACAATGCCTAAAACAAATTCAAATCATAGCTGAGTGTTAAATGAAGTAGAAAACTGAACCCAGTATTTCCAATTTGACGGACTCGGGAGCGGGGAGATGCAAAATATGGCGTTTGGGAGGTGGGGCAGCAGGGAAGTTAAATTGGGACAAGGGAAGTGCACTAACTTGAGTCCATTTCTCACCTGGTTGTTAACATCTTATGTAATGCTTAAAATGCAGAAACACTGGTTTCTGTCTCCAGCAATATCATCCATGCCTGTGCATCTTTCCTAAAACTAAAAAAGAAATATCTGATTAAAAAGCAAGAAACGGAACCCAAGAATTATCACAATGAGTACACACATCAAGGAAGTATTTGCCCAAGCATGATACCAGATTTTCTAACTAAAACTGAAGCATTGGCGATCAGAAAGAAAGCACTTCACTTGCTAGAATCCATATTATGGTTGTGATTGTTTGAGACCAGCCATTTCAGTTCTAAGAATTTTTCTGTTCCTGTTTAGTTCCTGCTTCAGGCTCAGCTGTCTGATTCATGATTTAGATTTCCTGCATCATAAGGTCAGAAATGGGGCTGAACTCATGCTTATTGCTTTCCAGTACTGGAACAGTTCATCCCTTCGTGCAGGAAAACCTAAGCTGCATTCAATTTTGAGTGATAGATGTCAAATTATACTTACATCTTACATGTGTTAGAGTTCTTGATATTCAAAGGTTTAATTGTCACCTAGAGCTTCAGAGCATGGTTAAAATTCTGCAGTTCTCTACATGAAAGGGTCATCATTACACAGACTACAGTTGAGGCTTCACAGGAGGCTCCACAGCACTGAGGTTGTCACCGAGTAAGGGGACGAAACATCTGCCATGAAACTTCCCAGCTCGGCGAACACACCAACATCTACGACAGACTACAGTGTTTTTAAAAGGTTCACCATCTCAAGGGGACTAGGCAAATGCAGCAAATTCTAGTCTTGCCAATAACAGATCTTAAAAAAAAAATCAACAATTATAAAAATAATCAAATCCACTTCATATTCAATGATGACCTGCTATAGATGTTAACTTTTCTGTATTCAGAACTGAAGACAAATTTTGCTAGTATTTTTAAATTAAATAGGATATTTTAATTAACACTGTTAAATTGAGCTATTGTACAAAATTAAATTAATGGTATCGTTTTGTTTCGAAGGTTGTATCTCAAATGTCTTTTTTTTTAAAGCAAACCCCTATCCTGAAGTCCGTCGCCGATACTGGAATGCCTACATGTTGTTTTACCAGCGAATGCTGGATCAAAATTCTCCTGTTTTACCAAAGAAAAGCCGAGTTAGTGTTGTTCGTCAGGAGGCGGAGGATCTATCATTGTAAGTAAAATGTTTGTGAACATTCCATCAATTATGTAAGTGGCTACATTCACACCATTCCTGTAAATCTGAACCTATGGTACTTCTGTGTTTTATTCCCTTTTATCCACAAGGACTACTAGTACCACAACAAGTGAACAACCTTTATGTATAAAGCCAAGTCCCTCTGCAAAGTAGAATGAAATGTATATGTAATCATTCACTGTTCTTCACTCTTTAATAATGAGCTGCATTTTCATCATGAATTCTAAAATGAGCTAATTGAAAAGCCAAGAATGCCTTTGTAGAATAAAACGTGAAAATGCTGTTAAAACTCCATAGGTTAGATAGCATCTAAGAAGAGCGAATTTTAACTTCTTGGGTCTATGGCATTTCATTAGCTCTTATTAAGCTGGAGAGGGTTCAAAAGAGATTTACCAGGATGTTGCTGGGTATGGAAGGTTTGAGTTATAAAGAAAGGCTGGATAGGCTGGAACTTTTTTCACTGGAGCATCGGAGATTGCGGGGCAACCGTATAGATAGAGTTACCGGTAATTGTCTTTTCCCAAGGATGGGGGATTTTAAGATTGGGGTCACATTTTTAAGGTAAGAGGAGAGAGCTTTAAAAAAGGACTCGAGGGGCAAATGTTTTACAGAGGGTGGTTCGCATGTGGAATGAACTTCCTGAGGAAGTGATGGATGTGGCTACATTTAAAAGTTATTTGGATAGACACATGAATAGGAAAGGTTTGGAGGGCTATGGGCTAGGAGCAGGGAGATGGGGCTAGTTTAGTTTGGGATTATGTTCAGCATGGACAGTTTGGACCGAAGGGTCTGTTTCCGTTCTGTATTACTCTTTCATCTGTTCTGTTGAAAGATCATTGACCTGAAATGTTAACTTTGTTTTTCTTAATGCAAATGCTGCTGCACACGCTGAGTGGTTCCAAATTTTTATTTCAGATTTTCAGAATCCTCACAATTTGTTATCTTTTGGTGTCTTTGTTGACTTTTCCACAGGCAGGTTTTAATTTCCTGAATAACTTTGTAAGCATAATTTCCTGAATATGAGGGCACTTGACCGGTGCAGAAGGGGGTTCTCTTATTATTTGTACCTTGTTTTCTTAAATTAACAAAAGAATTTCAAGCACTTAATGCAAAATTTGAGACTGCTGTTGGAGTTTAACCCTGTGGTTTGTATATATTGTTACTTTTGGTAGATCAGCTCCCTCTTCACCTGAGGTTTCACCTCAGTCATCACCTCGTCCACATAGATCAAACAACGACCGCCTTTCCCTGTTAACTAAGCTGGTAAAGAAGGGGGAGAAGAAGGGACTCTTTGTTGAAAAGTTACCAGCCAGAATTTACCAGGTAAGAAATGGCTAATATTTAACTGAAGAGCAAGTCAGAATTGATTTAGTTAGTAAGATTTTTTTTAAAAGTTGTCATGCTATGAGCCTCTCTGATAAGTAGCTCTGCCATTTTCCCTTTATTGCCCAAAATCAAAGTAAGCAGTAGATACATTCACAAATTCTAGGATATCTATTTAACACCTTTCAGCATCAGGAAGTCCCAAAGTACCTTGCTATCCTATGAGATTGAATGAAGTACAAGTAAATTGCTACTTCACCTGGAAACTATGGTTGGAATGAGGAGGAAGATGGTAAACGGGCAGGTGTTATACCTTCTGTGATTGGATGGGAAGGTGATGTGAGGATGAGGGGAGATGATAAGAGTGGAGAGGGAGGGGAGGGGAGGGGAATATGTGTTTAGTTATAAAGTCATAGAGCTGTACATCATGGAAACAGACCCTTTGGTCCAACTCATCTATGCCAACCAGTTATCCTAAAATAATCTAATCCCATTTGCCGGCATTTGGCCCATATCCCTCTGAATCCTTCCTATTTATATACCCATCCAGATGCCTTTTAAATGTTGTAATTGTGCCAGCCTCTACAACTTCCTTTGGCAGCTCATTCCAGACACACACCACCCTCTGCTTGAAAAAGTTGTCCCTTAGGTCTCTTTCATATCTTTTCCCTCTCACTTTAAACCTATGTCCTTTAGTTTTGGACTCCCCCACCTTGGGGGAAAAGACCTTGTCTATTCGCCCTATCCATGCCTCTCATGATTTTATAAAACTTCAGTAAGGTCACCTCAGCCTTTGACACTTCCAGGGAGAATAGCCCCGGCCAATTCAGCCTGTCCCTATAGCTCCAGACCTGGCAACATCTTTGTAAATCTTTTCTGAACCCTTTCAAGTTTCGCAACATCCTTCCTATGTAAGGGAGACCAGAACTGTACACAGTATTCCAAAAGTGGCCTAACCAATACCTTGTACAGCCGCAACATGACCTCCCAACTCCTGTATTCAATGCAGTGACCAATAAAGGCAAGCATACCAAATGCTGCCTTCACTGTCCTGTCTACTTACAATTCCACTACAAGGAACTATGAACCTGCACTACAAGGCCTCCTTGGTTGGCAACACTCCCCAGGACCTTACCATTAAGTGTTTAAGTCCTGCCTTGATTTGTCTTTCCAAAATGCAGCACCTCACATTTATCTAAAATTAAACTCCATCTGTCATTCCTCAGCCCATTGGTCCATCTGATCAAGATCCCACTGTACTCTGAGGTAACCTTCTTCATGGTCCACTACACCTCCAATTTTGGTGTCATCTGCAAACTAGTTGTGCCATTCCATTGGAGGTGACAGAAATGGTGGCTTACAATTCTTTGGATACAAAAGCTGGTTGGATGGTAGGTGAGGACCAGGGATAGCAAGGACGGAGTCAGAGATGAACCAGGTGCAGGTGAAGGCAGGAGGAAATTGGAAGCGAAATTGATAAATTTTTCCAGTTCAGAATGAAAGGAAGCAGCACCGATGATGTCATCTATGTACTGGAGGGAGAGTTGTGGGGAGGGGACTGAGCAGGACTGGAACAAAGAATGTTCCATGTACCCCACAGAGAGATAGGCGTGATTGATGTCCATGCTGGTACCCATGGCCATACTTTTAACCTGAAGGAAGTTAGAGGACTTAAAGGAATCAATTATTTGCTAGCATTCCATGACATGAAATGTCGGAAGTATCCTTCGCACCAGTGAACACTAGACTTATAACACTAGACTAAAACATATACTGTGGCCAAAATACCTACAAGACTGTTAAATTTGAAATAATTAATTAACATTGGTGCTGTTGAAATGACTGTCTGTCTGCTTTAAATTTGGTCAGTGTGCCAGACTTGAATGTTTATGTGCAGCCTTAACTGATATCAGAAATTGGCGAAATGTGGCTGAGAATGTGCTGTGGATTGTTGCAACATTGTTACTGTGCACTTATCATTAAGATGATGTAAAAATAATTGCAATGTTTATTTGAACGACACAGGGCCACGACTAGAGTGTGGATGTATTAATTTTTAATTTTTCAATTGGAAATTTCAGCTATGAATTTTGTCCCCAAAAATGCTTGTTTTACTTGAAATCTATTGCACTCTTTTACTAATTTCCTGTATTTTCTTCCAGATAGTTCACAATTTCAGCATATTTAATTTACGTGGTCATTAAGAGGGAAGGATAATGTTGGGAATTTAATAGAATTATGTAGAACGATTCACAGAAAGAGTCCTTGATACAACTGTTACTGGTGTCTGTATTCCTCACAAGCCTCCTTCCAAGTAGGAAATGTTTGTTGCTTTCACATCTTGAAAGTACTTTTACAATATAAGCATCAATGTTGTATTCTTTGTCATTTCCTTTATTGACTATGTAGGGAGGATGCTGTGTATCAGGTCACTAAAATCAAATTGTCTTCTCAGTTTCCACATGGCTGATTTTAATCTTGTGTAAGGGGTTTGGGAAGAACGTTGAAAGGAAAGAATTTCCCTGAAAAGATGTACCATATTTGTGTTTGTGTTTATTAATCACCTGTTACAACACGAGCTGACTAGTTTCCAGACAATGTATCGGTTTGTGTTGGTAACTGAAATGCTTCAAATTATTTCTATTAGTGGAAACAACTGTTACCATTTAATCTATGTCCATTTGTCTCTATTAGATGGTACGAGATGAGAACTTAAAGTTCATGAAAAACAGAGACATTTTCAACAGTGACTACTTCAATTTCATGCTTTCCTTGATTTCACTCAACGCAGTGAGTGTCTTTTCTGTGGTCAGGTACTGTTTGGCGGTTTGTCTGGTTAGTTGTTGCACCCCAATGAATGATATCACCTACTATTAACATTCAGATTTCTTCCCAATATGTTTACACACATACAATGCAAGAAGTTGTTTCCACAGGCAAGTCCACGGTTATTATAAATCCAAGTTACGAGTTTGAAGTATAGGTAGTAGTGTGCTGAGAGAAACATCAAGCCCTTGTACCATTAAAAGACAATGAAAATGACATGTCATCTGTATTAGAAGCAACACATTGCGTTAAGGTTTCTTTTATTTTGTTTGGCAAATAAACGACCAAACTTAAGTTTGTGTGGTGAATTTAATTATTTTCTGGTGTGCAGTTTTGTTTTATTTATGGGATGTGTTGTTGCTCACTAGGCCAACATTTATTGCCCATTCCTGATGATAGTGACTTCTTAAGCAGTTGCAATCCTTATGCAAATACAATAACTTCAAGCCATTCAGTGCTGTTTGATGGTGAAGCTGATCATAAGGTGCTGTTTTTGAGAAACTAAATGATACAGCACTGCTACTTGGACGGAAGCCTTTGCATGTCCAAGTTTAACTGTTCATTTGCCCTTCATCTGAAGTTGCTGTAAAGTTCGTGAACAAATAACGGTGAGCGCAGCTAGCATCACTGTTATTGACATCAGATTAGAGGCCAATACAGACCATAGTTGTCACCATTACTTTAAAACCTGGTAAAACAAGTATATCAAAATGCATGATCCTTTATAGCATGTACTTGGCTTAGTTTTAACAAAGCAAAATAAGCACCATATGCCTTTGGTTGCCGTCTTGCCAGAACTGCTGTTGTTCAAGTAAACTGAAAATGTAACTAAAATATAATGTACATGTCCTGTAGTTCACGAACATTCTACTCCCCACCTCTCCAACCACCCCCCCCAAAAAAAAAACCTGTAAAACCAGAGTACAAACAAACTGGCGATTAATTGAAAAGTGCTAATATTGACGTGTGCAACTCTATACAATTGCACTGGTGCTATAACTCCTCCATTGTCAAATGAAACAGTCTTACAACTTTATCACTGATAAAAGTCTGCTCTACAGCTGGGAATCTTGCAAAAAAGGTAGATCTCATTTAAATATTATTACTTAAACCACACTTTAAATGCCTTTCAGAAAAAATGCATTTTTTATAAATTGCAATGACTGCATTCTACAGTCAGTCCTGCTAATGCTGTATACCCATTAATATCAATTATTGATTTGTTGTGAGAGATAAGCTTTTTTAATTGCTGCATGGAATCCTTGGCCCCAGTGTTCTGTTATAATTAGTGTATATTGTATTAAATTTTTACTGAGGATCTGTTCCTGTGGTTAGGGTTTCTGTTAACCCTATAGGCTTACACACTACAGTCCCTCTGGAAACATTTGATAATACCAAAAAGTGACAGATCTGTGCCACAGAAATTATTAACCGTAAACTTACATGTCATATTTGTGTTTATTTGAAGGTTAAAAATTGTATCCTTGACTGGTGACAGTAGAGTTTTAAGATTGCGTGAGACCCAATCTGCTGCCATTGGTTTTCCAGCACAAACTCAAGGCATTAGCTGCAAATTAAATGTAAAATTATTGAAGTTAGCAAAGGCCAGCTTTTGGGAAGACTTATTTTTGGCAGAGCTTTACAAGCTGCTAGTCATAGTAAATGATGGTCATGTTGTGTTTGATTTGTAGTGCAAGTGCCTTGAATCACTTCTTTGGCAGTCCAAAGTGCAGCGTGAGTTAAGTCACGTAGTTTTAGAAGGTAGTGGTATAGCATCTTTTGTTTTTCTCCAGTTGAAGCAATCTGTTTTCTGTTTGGGAGTTGAACATCATTTGAAAGAGTGAAACCATAACAAAACAATGTACTTTCTAACACTTGAAGCTATGACTTCCCTTCATCAAATTGCAATTTAATGAATATTGATAAAAAGCTAAGAATCTTGAAGCACTTTGAGTCATACAACGAAAAGCTGTTTCAGCAAACTGATTTTGCTTGTTGTTACTAAGTAGTTGCATTTATCTAGCATCTTTCACAACTGCTAATGGTCTCCAAGTATTTTACAGTCAATGAAGTATTTTTGAAGTCAAATCATTGTTATAATGTAGTAAATGTAGTGACTAATTTACATATAGCAAGCACCCATAAACAGTGACATGATAATGACAAGACCACCTGTTGATTGAGGGATAAATATTGATCAGTGCATAGATTCATATAGCACAGAAATTGACCCTTCAGTCCAACTAGTCCATGCTGACCATGTTCCCAAACTAAACTAGTCCCAGCTGCTTGCACTTGGCCCATACCCCTCCCAACCTTTCGTATTCATGTACTTATCAGAATGTCTTTTAAACATTGTAACTCTACCTTCATCGACCACTTCCTCAAGAAGTTCATTCCACACACAAGCCAGTCTGTGTTTAAAAAAAAGTTGCTCTTCATGTCCACTTGAAAACTTTCTCCTCTCACCTTAAAAATACGGCCCCCAGTTTTGAACTCCCCCACCCTCAGGAAAAGACCTTTGCTAATCACCTTATCTGTGCCCCTCATGATTTTATAAACCTCTATAAGGTCACCCCTCAACATCCTACACTCCAGTGAAATAAGTCCCAGCTTATCCAGCCTATTTTTATAACTCAAACCCTCCATTCCCAGCAAGATCCTGCTAAATCTTTTCTGAGCCGAGTCCAGTTTAATATCCTTCCTATAGCAGGGCAACCAGGACTGGACACAGTACTCCAGAAGAGGCCTCATCAACATCCTGTACACCCTCAACATGATGTCCCAACTCCTGTACTGAAAGGTCTGAGCAAAGAAGGCAACATGCCAAATGCCTTTTTAGTTGCCCTGTCTACCTGTAACGCAAATTTTAAAGAATTATGTATCTGAATCCCTAGGTCTCTCTGTTCTACAACACTACCCAAGGCCCTACCATGAATACTATAAGTCCTGCTCTTGTTTGTTGTATCAAAATGCAATCTAAGATTACACTGTCATTATGCCACCAATTTTGGTGTCATCCGCAAACTTACAAAATATGCCTGCTATCTTCTTACCCAAATTATTTATATAAATGACAAACAAAAGTGGACCCACTACCGCTCGCTGTGGAACACCGCAGGTCACAGGTCTCCAGTCCGAAAAACAACTCTCCCTCATCCTCATCCTCTGTCGCCTACCCTGAAGCCAATTTTGTATTCAATTGACAAGCTTGGCCTGAATCCCATGTAATCTAAATTTATTAATTAGTCTACCATGTGGAACCTTATCAAAGGCTTTACTGAAGTCCAAGTAAACAACATGTACTACTCTGCCCTCATCAGTCTTTTTGGTTTCTTCCACAAAAAAATTCACAATTTCCCTTGCACAAAGCCATGCTGACTATCCCTAATCATTCCTTGCCTCTCCAAATGCATGTAAATCCTATCTTTCACCTTCAACAAGTTACCCACCACCTAAGTCAGACTCACAGGTCTATAGTTCCCAGGCTTCTCCTTACAGCCTGTCTTAAACAAAGACACAACATTAGCCATCCTCCGGTCATCCAGCACCTCACCTGTGGTGTTAGATGTTAATATTTCTCTCAGGAACCCCGCAATTTCCTCCCTAACTTTCCACAACACCCTGGGATACATTTGATTAGATCCTGGAGATCTATCGATGAGGAATAACTCTTGTGTTCTTTCTTGAAGTAGTGTCATAGGATTTTTCACATCTTCCTGAAAATGCAGACATGCCTCTGTTTAACAGCTCATCCAAAAGATGCTGCTGCAGTCGTTCAGTACCTGATTCTTGTGCTCATGTCATTGGAGTGGGTCTTGAATTAAGAATCCTCTGTCTGCAAGTTGAGAGTGCTACCAAATGACCCATTGCTGATGAGGCATCTTCCAAATGAGAGATCGAAATCCAATACAACTTAGTTTGGAATTGGATTGTAGTAAATTGTTTCTGAATCATATGTTTCTGGGTTCAGGGGCATTCCAATACATAATCAGGTGGACACAAAAAGGCCAGTGTAAGTATTGGAGATGATGCAGGTCAACACCCAAAAAAATAGATCAGTCTGTTTGTTGAGACAGAGGTTAACCTACTTGCTGTGTGAAATTAATTGCTGTGTTTTATTATGCAATTATGTTTGAAGTCCATGACTGTTGATTTGTTGTGAAGTAAATGGAGGCAACCTGAAAACATGATCAGACTTTCATCAATGCAGTTGTTTTCCCTATTTCACCTGTGTTTTAGTTTCATATTTTACTTGCATGCACAGTGCGCCAGCAGTCAGTCCCCTTATAAAATTCCTGTTTCATTAAAGTTAAATATTTAAGTTAATCAAAGTTTGTACGTGGTTCTTGGTGGGCATTACATCCTGTGCATGCCTAGGCCAGTGTCATTAACCAATGTTGACAATAAATAGTAATTAAGCTGTAAAGCAGGTAGACTCAAGGAAATCCATCTTTGCTTGTTTTAACAAGTATTAACAAATTGTCAAAACTTGAAAGAGAAATTCGGGCTTGTATGAGCACAGTGCTTTTATCTCTGTATCGCTTCAAATCTAGATCACTTAAAATTTTAATTCCTAAAATTTTATAGCTTTCTTACAATTTCGTTTTTTGCATGTTTCTCATTCTGATGTGCTTTCTCCCTGTAGACTAAATTGAAACACCCTATGTACCAAACCATGGCGAAGGTCAGCATGAAACTAGCCATCCAGTTCCTCTTCCAGACTTATTTGCGAACTAAGAAAAAACTCAGGTAAGAAAATGACCGCAGAATATTAATAGTTGGATCTAATTTAATGGTGAGTTTAACATGAAAACTGTTCAATCACAGAAGACAAAAACTGAAAGAACTTTGGATGCTGTAAATCGGGAACAAAAGCAGAAGTTGCTGGAAAAGCTCAGTAGGTCTGGCAGCATCTGTGACGAAAAAATCAGAGTTAACGTTTCAGGTCCGGTGACCCTTCCTCAGAACTGATGGTAGCTAGGAAAATGTTGGTTTATATGCAGAAGATAGGGTGACGGGAGGGGTAAAGAGTAAATGATAGGTGGGGATAGAGCCCAGAGAGAGGGAAGAGAAGTTGGATAGACAAAGAGGTTGATAACGATCTGGCTAGGAGGGTGAATAGCTGTTAATGGGGACTGTTAGTGACGAACAATAGGTAGTGTGTAATGGCAGGCTATGCGAAACAAGGCCTAGTGTGTGGGATAGGGGCCAGGACATGGGAGAGTATAGGCTCTAAAATTATTGAACTCAATATTAAGTCCACAGGGCTGCAGGGTCCCCAGGTGGAAAATGAGATGCTTGTGCTGAGCTTCACTGGAACACTGTAGCCAGCCTGAGACAGAGGTGTTGACCAGGGAACAGGGTGGTGTGTTAAAGTGGCAGGCAACTGGAAGCAAATGGTCTTTTTTGCGGATGGAGCGTAGATATTCTGCGGAGCAGTCACCCAGTCTACACTTTATTTCCCCAGTGTAGAGGAAACTACTTTGTGAGCAGCAAATGCAGTAGACTAGATTGTGTGAAGGTATATTTGGGCCCTTGGATACTGGGGAAGGAGGAGGTAAATAGGCAGGTGTTACAGCTTCGGCAGACAGAAGATGTCTGTTTCTTGGCCTCATCCAGTGTTTGTCCGCAGAAGGGATCAGTGTTTTACTTGCTGTCATTTCAGGATGTTGTGGCTAGTTATGGCTCTCCTATGTTCTACTAGCTTACTCAGATGGAAGATAGAACTTGAGACCTCCTGCTCTGTACGAATCAATGCCGCGTTGGTAAATTATACGAGAGCTCCATTTTATGTTTCTCTGTCCCCAGAGTGATCATACTCTGAAATCTATGTTCATGCGTGGTCTGTGGAACTGGAGCTATCTCGATTATGCAATTCACACACAAGTCTGACAGTTGTAGAATTGTTTTTGATCAACAGGTCTGATCTTGCCATCAGCATCGCAATTGTTTAAACTATTTTTAAAAGTGTGTCAAAAGGAAAACAAATTTTAGTCTCTCTTGAATTTGTTTTTTTAATTTCTTGAACACATTAAAAAAAGACATGCTGCTGTATTTGTAGTTGCTTATCTGGCAGATCATTCCAAGCTTTATCACTCTCTGAATAAATACTTAAGATCTTTTTGATATCAGTTTTAACTAATTTGAATCGATGCCCTGCTGTCCTAATTTTTCTGGTTTGAAAGCTAGCCCAAACTTTTCCTGCCACATTCAGTATTGAACTAGTATACATCCCTTGGAGATACGTGTAGGCAGCTCAGACCACAATGTTTGAGAATTTTTGTTCATAATTTTATGGAAGGCTAGGAAAATTTAACAGTTTAGCTCAACAACATGCTTCATGCCCTTAAGTATATGTATTTGCTCTGTGAGAACTCCAAAGTAAGAATGTATGAAATACCAGCAGTAATAGACCAAATGACCCATCCAGACTGGAGCAGCATTATTAAAGATCATAGATGACCTACTGCTGCAACTCTAATTTCACACCTGCTGTCCAATTTTCTTGATTCCTATAGAAAGCCTTGTCTAGCTCAGCTATGCCTCTCTGACCTGGGTGCCCCTGGCCAGTGGGAACAATCTATGCCTATGCTGTCAAGCCAAATAGCATAAGCAGCATGTGATAGATAGGATTAAGCTATTCCACAACTAATGGATCAGATGTAAGTTGTGAAGTCCGGCCACATCCAGTTATGGATGGTATTGGACAATTAAACAGCTCAGTGGAGAAGGCTCCACAAATTTCCCCATCAGCAAGATTATGTCTCATTCTTAGTTTGAAAGCGTAAACTCACTTTATTCTGTGCCATGTTGTAGAACAGCCTATTTTAAAACTTTATTCATGGGATGTGGGCTTGGCTGACTGAACCATGCATAGTGGCCCTTGAGTGTGTGCTGGTGAGCTGCTTTCTTCAACTATTGAAGACAGACATCTTTGCTGCAAACCTTGGAGGTTGAAATGCATCATCCTATCGGCAACTCTGGCTGAAGATTGTCAAAAATGCTTCAGCCTTGCCTTTTGCATTGATGAGCTGGGCTTCCTCTTCATTGATTGGGGGTATTTGTGGAGCCACGGCAATGTGTTGTTCAATTATCCAATACCATTTGTAACTGGATGTGGCAGGACTTCAGAGCTTAAATCTGATCCGTTGGTTGTGGAATAGCTTAACTGTCTTATCACACGCTGCTTATGCTATTTGGCACACAAGTAGCCCTGTGTGACACCTCCATTTTTTAGGTATGCAACTGTTGGCATGCCCTCTTGCACTTTTCTTTGAGCCAGATTGATCCCTGGCTTGATGGTAATAGTAGAGTGGGTGATATGGTGAGCTATGAGGCTATTGATTGTGTTTGAATACAGGTCTGCTGAAGATGACCCAAGTGCCTCATGGATTCTGAATCTTGAGCTGCTAGATTTGCTTAATCTGTTTTAGCTCAGTGGAAGTGCCACATAACACAATGGAGAGAGTATCCTCAAATTGAAGATGAGGCTACACCTAGAGAGAGAAGTAGAGTCATATGGCATGGAAACAGACCTTTTGGACTAACCAATCCATGCCGACCATAACCCCAAACTGAACTTGTCCCACCTGCCTGTGCATGGTCCATGTCCCTCCAAACATTTCTTATTCATGTACTTATTCAAATGTCTTTTAAACATTGTAACTGTAAGTGTAGCTGCATCCACCACTTTCTCTGGTAGTCCATCCCACAAATACTGAGGTGTTTACTCTTAATGATATTGTCATGGACAGATGTATCTCTGGCAGGCAATTGGTGAGGATGAAGTCAAATATGTTCTTCCCTTTTGTTAGTTACTTCATCATTTGCCACAGATCTAATCTAGTGGCTGTGGCCTTTAGGACTCAACCAGTTTGGTCAGTAGTGGTCCTGCCAAGCCAGTCCTGGTGATTGACTGAAATTCCTCCACCTGTAATACATCCTGTGTCCTTGCCACATTCATGCTTTCTCCAATGGTGTTCAACATGGAGGAGTACTGATTAGCTGATAAAGGGATTGCGGTTCCAGGAAGCAGAAGAAGTTTCCTTGCCCACGTTTGATTTGATACCATGAGATTTCATGAGGTCCAGAGATAGTGCTCAGCACTCCAGGCCAACTTCCTCCTGACTGTGCCATAACTCTGACTGGATCTGTCCGGCCGCTGGGATGGTACATATCCAAGGTTAGTTGGTGGTATCTGTGACGTTGTGAGGTATTATTCCATGAGTATGACTGTCAGATTGCTGCTGGACTATTCTGTCTAATAGTTCTCCCAATTTTGAGACTAGGCCTCAGATGTTAATGAGGAAGATTTTGCAGGATTGATAACGCAAAGTTTGCTGTTATGGTTGCTGGAGCCTAGGTCGATGCCAGTGGTCCGTCTGATTTTTTTTTTTAGACTTTTATTGATATGATGCAACTGAGTGGCTTGCCATTTCAGAGGGCAGTTAAGCATCAATCATATTTGTATGGGTCTGGAGTGAGATATAGGCCAGGCCAGGTAAGGATGGTAAATCTTTCCTAAGCGATACTTGGAAACCAGTTAGGTTTTTGCGCCAGTTGACAATGGTTTCATCCTCCTCAGTATACTTTTAACATTAATACATTCAAATTGACTTAAATTTGAGTCCCCAGAACATCAGGTGGGTCTCTATATTACTAGAGTAGCAGTAATACTGCTACACCAACCTCTCTTCTCTCATTCATTCCAGGAACTAATCTCATGAACCTTCACTGTACTGCTTCCAATGCAAGTTAATCCTTGCTTAATTATGGCGATCAAAACTACATAAAGTAGGTGTGATCCCACCTTCTACAAGCAAGACATTTTCTTATACTCCATATCCCTTGTAATAAGGGTGCACATTCGATTTGTCTTCCTAATTGGTTGCTGTACCTGCATGTAAAATTTGTGTTCCTTATACAAGTGCACCCAAGTTCTTTGAACATCAACATTTGCAAGTTACAAACCCTTTTAAAAATAGTCTGCTTTTCTGTTCTTCCTCCTGTTATGAGTAACTTCAAATTGTTCTAATTGTTGCCCACTTCTTTAATTTAAGCCCTTTACAGCACATTTGTTTCCACAGTTTGCTGTTCCCACCAAGTTTTGCACTGTCTGCAAACTTGGATGGATTACTCTTGGTCGCTTCATCGTAAGTCTTTAATATGAATTATAAGTAGCTAAGGACATTTCATCCTTGATTTCACCACTTCAAGTTGAGCGCTCAACCTCCTCCAACAAAAAATTGAAATTTCGATAAAAGTATAAGATCTAGGGTCAGGAGACTGCAATTCAGACCCTCGAGCCTGCTCTGCCATTTAATACAATCCCATCTTGACTTCAACTCCATCTTCATGCATATTCTCCATAATCCTTCAACCCGTAACTAATTAAAAATCTATCTCCTCCTTACACTTACTCAATATTCCAGTATCCATCGCACTCTGGGATAGTGAATTCCACAGATTCATGACTGTGTGTGAGAGATAATTGTTCTTCATCTGTTTCAAATCTGCTATCCCTTATCCTAAAACTATGGGTAATCTAGAACAAGACACCGATGTGAGGAAACATCCTCTGTATGTTCAGCCTATCTGCTTTTTTTTTTCATCCTATATATATCAGTTAGATTTTTTTTCCAAACTCCAGAGAATATAGGCCTAAATTGCTCACTCTTTTCATAAGACACATACTTCACCTCTGGAATCAACATAGTGAACCTCCTCTGCACTTCTTCCAATGCAACTACATCCCTCTTTAAGTAAGGGGACCAAAATTTTATAGAGAAAAGGATTATACTTCACCCCTTACTCTTCAAACACCACCTCTACTCAACTTGTATGCCCTCAGACAGAGATGTGACAGATAGTGTGGCAGTCTCAGACTCTTCCATTGTGGCTGTCCAGTTTGTGCTGTATTATTAGTCCTGTACTATAAGAGGTAAATTGTTGGTGGGAGTAATTTCAGTTACTTATGGTTTTCTTGTGATTTAATATTTGGGCTTTGATTAGACATACAAATGGCTTTCAGGGCAGGTGAAGAAAATCTCTATATATGATTCTTCCAGTTCTAGAAAGTTTGCATCTAACAGGCAGGCAGTAAATAGTCAGGAATGTGAAAAGATGATTCAGTGTATTAGAACTCAACACAACAATCCCCTGCCCTTCCAGGGTTTCGCAGCATTCAGTTGCATTTTGAATAGTTGCAAGTGCTAGAAATCTGAAATATTTGGAGAAAATGAAGTACATTATGACCTGGAATAGTCCATTTTGAAAATTCTTTCATGGGGTATGAGTATCGCTGGCAATTTGTTGCCCACCCGGATTTGTTCTTGAGAAGGTTGTTGGTGAGCTGTTGTCTTGAACTGGTGCAATCTGTGATATATTTCCACGATCCTGTTAGGAAAAGAGTTCCTGGTTTTTGACCTAGTATGTATGCAGATGTTGTCTGCCCTGCTGACTACAATATCTTCAGCATTTTCTGTTTTTATTTTTACTTTTACTACCCTACTGTTGAGGGAATTATTCCAAACGATAGCCAATTGTTGAATTTTAAAATTCTTCCTAAAATCCTTATAAACTTCTAATTCATGTCCTCCAAAGGTTGAAAGAAATTATCTCGAGGTGTTAAATCATCTAAGTTGCACGGTCATTTGTAAATGGCATAAGAGATCTATATTTTGCATATCAGTCATGTTCCAACACCATTATCTGCTTTCAGTTTGGATGTTTACTAGATCTCCAAGTGTGTTCCTTGCATTGTTTAGCTAAGGAATTATTGAGAAATGTTTCCATTAAATTGACTTTCTATTCCTCACATAAGACATTTGAAGTCTTTAGAAACACTTTGCATTTGGTTTTGTGTATGGCTCCTCTTGTTTTTACATAAACTGGAAGGCGCTACATTTGCCCTTTCATGTATTGTGCTAGTTTTGGACTATCTGTTTACAGTTGTGTTTAATTATCAATTATTTCACATGTTGAACCTTTCAACAATTTGGGATTTTTTTTTCAACTACAGGGTGGACACAGGAGAATGGATTACCCTCATTGAAAGGTTGCTTTCAAATAGTTGTGAGGCATGCCAGTGGCTGATTGAATTCCTGATTGGATGTGAGGGACGAGAATTAATAAAGTAAGTCTACAAAGAACAGGCTTGGAATTTTGATAAAGCTGCTCATTCTTTTTGAGTGACTATGAAAACAAATTAAGGAAGACCATAGAATTAATTCCTTGAGAAAAGCAGTGTCTTGAAGTTATAGGTTGTCAGTGGCTGCATGACAAATCATTTTAAAATCATTTTGCTTCCAAGTTAGTTTGTCTTATCAAGTTCTAAGGCTTTTGTTTAAGTTTGCATGATGCTAATACAAGTATTTTTGGGAGGATAGATTCATAATCTTGCTATTTCTAGTATTTAGATGTTTCTAATAATTGAGGATTTGACAACAATTTAGAGGAATATGCTAAGAATTGCAAGCAAAATTAAAGCCTTAGTGTCAGTGATTATTATCTATAAATTTGTTAATCTCAATCAGGATCAGTAATGATTCAGGAACTTTATTTTAGTATTAGTAGCAAAAGCCATTACTTAGATGTTCCTTGGACATTGTTACCACACTTAAAGGAGCCCTAATTAAATTTACCTTTAAATATGGTAAAATTTATCATTTTCATCTCTTTGTACTGAATATGATCTAATTAATATTTAAATACCAACAAATTAATTACTTCTGGATGTATTAAGTGAAGATTATTCAGTTACATGTTTCGTAGAGAATGGGATTGTGGATGCATTATTCCAAATTGACTTATTTGCAGTCAACATATGTTTTGTAAAGAAACTTTGTGAAGTCAGGAAATGTCTGTGTAAAGGAGTGTGATCATTTTGACTTTGGCTTAATGTTTGTTTCTGCTTTGTGGATTTAAATGTGAACGTCAACACTCGCCAATCTAATTGTCTAACAGTAAAAATCTTTGATTGGAGATCATCCTTGAAAATGTTCATCTTTGTGATTGGCTGATTGGTGTGCAGCATAACGATGGGCTGACATCAGCCCACCTATGCTCAAGATTGTACTCTTTCAGGAAGGGGTGGAGACAGGATTTATAATTGTGCAGACAGGCTAAGACATGTTATCAAATGAAACATGAGAAAGCATTCTTAGCTTGGTTTGATTGACATTTTCAATCCCTAGTTTCTTCCTACTTTTGAACTACTGCATTTTTAACTTCTCTACAACCAGGAGCGTAAGTGTTCCTGATTCAGGGAATAGCAGCAAAGGTAGATATACGTGTAAGCAAATGGGATGCAATCAAATTTTATGTGCAGTTCCCTAAACGTTGTACTCCATGGTGCTTACCGGAGTGATCCTCAAGGACAAAAATTGTGATACTTTTGACCCATGACATCCCAGATTTGTAATAGCATAATTAAATCTCCTTTTACCCTGCACCAACAATATAACTTAAACAAAACTTCAGATGAGCAATCTTAACTGCTTCAAACTGAATCTGTCTAGCTTGTATTAAAAGCACTGATCACAGCATTCTAATAGCTTTACAATTGAAAATAACACTGTGTGGATCTGATTATGGGACTTGTTAAGTCAGTGAAGTGAAATTCCTTCTAATGTTACTCTCCATCTACCAGCCACAGATTCAAAAGTATTTTAGAAATTCTTAATTTCCTTCCCAATTATAAACTTAGTGTGTCCAAAATGTCGAAAGCAATATGAGGGAGGTGGAGACAGAGTAAAACAGATGAGATTGAGCAAGGTGGAAAGTTTTATTTAGTCATAGCTGCCACCTTCTTGCATTAATATCCTACTTCTCCCCACTGTGTGTGCTGCTGCCCATTATGTTCCAGCTTAAATTTTCAATGCATCTGATTTATCAGAACCTTTCCTCCTGGTCCTATTGCCCTTTTTTAAATGAAAAACACAAAGTACATTAGTATAGGTTATTTTAAAAGGAGAAATTTCTCCTACTCTCTGCACATTCCTATTTTTCCCTGCTTCTCCTCTGAACTCTTCTTTTACATTTTCCTTCCCCCATAACCCCAGCACTCACTTTGTTTGGGAATAGTATAGTTTGAAGGGAAATGGGGAGAGGGAAGTAGGAAATTACATAACAAAGTCCACTTTGTTTTTCCCTGCGTGCGCACACCAGGATTTTTCTTCTGGAGTGTTCTGTCCGGGAGGTTCGAATAACTGTTGCTACCATCCTAGAAAAAACCCTGGAGAGTGCCTTGCTTTATCAGGAAAAGGTTAGTAAATTACACATGTGGAATGTCTGCTTTTAATTTAGTTAAAAGTAGCTAATGTGCATATGTCTGTGTCGTGGAGAACTGTGAGCAGGCCATGTTATAGATCTCTAAATTAGCTGAATGTTTGCAGAATGTTTATTTTAGTTTAGTAAGTCCAAAACCTCTGTTACTGACTAATTTCTTAACAATTCAGATAAGGAATGAACCACTTATTAAAATGAATAATGGTGGAAAATAATAAAAGTGTACATTTTAATTTAGTCTCTTTTGTCTTTACTGTAACTAATGATTTGTCATCTGTAAGTAATACCTGAAGAAAAGCATTGGAAATTGTAGTAAATTACAATTTTTTAAAAAATATCTTTAACATTAGTATCAGTGCTGATAAATGGGAAAAACTTTCCCTGTCGTGGCCTGTGCCAGCGCCCATATTCTCGGGTCAAGGTTGCTTGCGGGATAAAATTCCATTTAGTTGGCCTCATAATGCCTTAAATGTCTGCAAAAAAATTTGTCCATCAGGGTTGGAAAATAAAGCCAACTACAACAAGGATGCTAAACATATTGCTGGCAGAAAAGTTTAATGCACTCCACACCTCTACTGTGTTTGAGAGTCAGAGTTTCCTGAGGAAGGCTTCCAACAGACAAAGCTGTGCTTTTCTATGTGTCACAACCTCTCCTTATCCTCATTCCAGTCAATGGATAGGTAGTGTGTGAGATATTGAGAGATTGAGATTGGGGATCAATAGACAAAAAGCCTTACGAGGACTGGAGGTCAAGGAGAGGGAGGTTTGGGAGAGAAAATAAGATTGGCAAATAGTAGTCACTAAGTTTGGGAGGTAGTGGTGGCCAGTATTGGAAGGAAGGGCATCTGTTCAGTGGTCTGAAATTTGGGATCCTGTTGGTGCATGCAAAACAGGAAGAAAGGGGTGTGTGCAGTTAGTGAGGGTGTGGAGGACAACATCTTTTGCCAAGCTTGTTGTGACAGTAGCACTGTGATGAATGGAAACAGGAGGCTGATATAAAGGGCTTAATAAAAGTTGCATATTACTGTGATTAAATAGGGATTGATAGTTTTCACTGCTGAGCAAGTGAACAATAGTAACAAAGAAACATAAGATTCACACTGCATAATGCTGACTTTGGAAGCTCTAATTCTTTGGAGCAGTGACACGTCCATGGGCCAAGTAAAGGCCAGAGGGACCCACAGTACACTTGTTGAGTAAAGGGAGTACTCCTGCTCATCCATATACCTCAAAAGGAAATGCTTTTAAAAGAAAAATGCCCATCGTTAATTAAATATCTCAGGTATTGCTGTTTAGATTGCTGTAGAAGTGGAAAAGTTAGGCAGAGAATAAGTTCCACGTGGTTCTTCAAGCATTTTTGAAAATGTTCAAAGCTAGGTGCAAGACGCTACTTTGAATATTGTAACTTGATCAAGATTGATATCAACAGCCATTAGGTACACCTGAAAACAGCGAAGATTAATAAAGCGATAGCCATGCCATTGTTTCTGATTAGCTACAAGATATGGAAGACAGAAACTTGTGTACATTGCTTCTGATATACACTTTTTAAAAATAGATTAATGCAAATCAATTTCCACTTCTGTGTGCCTAAGTTATAAGTCCATAAGAAATAGGGACACGAGTAAGCCATTCAACCCCTCAAGCCTGCTCTGCCATTCAATAGGATCATAGCTGATTTGACATTCCTTATATCTACTTCCTGGCATTTTGCCCTGTGACCCTTGATTCCCCTACTGATCAAGAATCTTATCTATCTCAGCCTTAAATATACATAAGGACTCTACCCACATAGTTCTCTGTGGCAAGAAATTCTAAAGACCCTCAACCCTCTGAGAAGAAATTCCTCCTCATCTCAGTCTTAAATTGGCACTACTTTATTCTGAGACTATGTTTTCTGGTCCTTAACTCTCCCATGAGGGGAAACATCCTGTCAGCATTTACCCTGTCAAGCCCCTTAAGAATCCTATATGAGGTCTCCCCTCATTCTTCTAAACTCCAGCGAGCAGAGTCCCAACCTGTTTAGCCTTTGCTCACAAGACAATCCATCCATGTTATGAATTTTCCTAGTGAACCTTTTCTGAACTGCCACCAATAAAATAATATTTTTCCTTAAATAAGGGGATCAAAACTGCTCACAGTACTCGAGATGTGGTCTCACCAGCATCTTGTACAGTTGCAGTAAGACTTCCCTACTCTTATATTTCAGCTGCCCTTGAAATAAGGGCCAACCTTCTATTGGCCTTTCTGATTACCGGTTGCATCTTTCTGCGGTTGTTCTCCATTTAAATAATCTATTCTTTTGTTCTCTCTTCCAAAATGAACAGCTTGGTATTTTCTCACATTATACTCCATTTGTCAACTTTCTGCCCACTTACTCAACTAAACTATATGTCTCTGAAAATCTCTTGTACACATCACAGCCTGCTTTTCCTCCTATTTTTGTGTCATCTGCAAAATTGTTGATAGTATATTTATTTCCTTCCTCTAAGGCATTAATAGATATATATTGTAAATAGTTGTAGTCCCAACACTGATCCCTGTGGAACCCCACTGCTCAGAGGACACCAACCTGAAAATGAACCCCTTATCCCCATTTACTATTTCCTGTCCGTGAGCCAATTCTCTATCCATGTCAAATACCACCTCCAACACTATGGGCTCTTATGACTTAACTTCTTGTGAGGTAACTTGTCGAACACCTTCTGGAAATCCAAGTACAACATATCTACTGGGTCAAATACAGAAATTGCTAGAAAAGCTCAGCAGGTCTGGCAGCATCTGTGGAGAGAAATCAGTTAACAGTTCGAATCCGGTGACCCTTTCCCAGAACATCCACTGGGTCCCCTGTATCCACTCAAGTTGAGACTTCCTCAAAAAACTCTAGTAAGCCATGCTGACTCTGCTTGATTAGATTATGATTTCCCAAATGTTCTACTATTACTTCCTTAATAAATTGAATCCAATACTTTTCCAACAATAGATGTTAGGCCAATCAACCTATAGATGCCTGCTTTTTGCCTCCCTCCCTTTTTGAATAGGGATGTTGAACTAGCAGTTTTACAATCCCCTATTCTCCATAATCCAATGATTTTTAGAAAATTACAAGCAATGCATCCACTATCTGTGTAGCCAATTCTTTTTGGATCCTAGGATGCAAGCTGTCAGGGCTGAGAACTTATTTGCCTTTAACCCCATTAGTTTGTCTAATGCTACTTCTCTAGTGATGATTAACAAACTTTGTTTTATCCAGCATCTAATGATCCGGTTCTATTGATAAACTGGCAAAAATTATGTATCTCAAATACACAAGGTTTGCTGTGTTATTCTTTCCGGTTATTATCGTTTTTAATTTATTTACCCCATTATAACTATACTTGTTCAATTAAAAGGCTGCATGAAATATCAACTTTTGTTTCAATTTCAAGTCAATTTCTCCTTAAATACTGCATTCTATCACAGTGTCTGAGTAGTCAGATGAGAGTGAGGAGGCTCTTTGCCAGTCAATTTTATTTAAAACAAATTTGCATTTTTTAAGTGATTTATCCAGTAAATAAAGTATAACAGTGATGTGTATACCCCCTACATTATGTTTCTATTACTTATAGTGTGTTTTTACATTGATTATGTGGATCAATTGATTATCCAGAATATTTGATCAACCGGCACACTCCTGGTCCCGTAGATGCGTTAATAAAAAGTTTACTGTACTTAATTCTTCCTCCATATTCTTTAGTATTAGAGGGATGTTCAAAGTATCTTCCACCATAAAGACTGATGCAAAATTTTGTTTAATTCCCCTGCCATTTCCTTGATCCCATAATCATTTCCCCAGTTTCATTTTCTAAGGGGCCTATGTCCACTTTGACCTCTCTCTTCCTTTTTACATATTTAAAGAAGCTCTTATTGCCAGTTTTTATATTCCAAGCTAGTATATTTTCTCTGACTTTATTTATCATTTTGGTCCTCCTTTGCTGGATTCTGAATTTATCCCAGTCTTTGGGGTTATCATTGACTTTTTAGCCTCCTTTGTGTTTTTTTTCTTTCAACTTAATGCTGTCCTTAAATTCTTTTTTCTTAGCTATGTTTATTTCCTTCTCTTAGAATCTTTGCTCCTTACTAGAGTTATTTTTGCTAAGAATCATAAATTGCCTCCTTAAATGTCTGCCACCGCTTGCTTACTGTCATTCCTGCTGAGCTATCTGCCCAGTTCACTGTAACTAACTCTATCGTTATTTCATTGTAGTTCCCTTTATTTAAGTTATACATGGTTTTATATGACCCAGGTTTTCTCACACTCAGACTGAATGTTAAATTCTATCATCACTACTTCCTAGGGGATCTTATACTCTGGGGTCATTTACTAAACCTGCCTTATTACACATTACCAGATCCAAGGTAGTGCTCTCTGGTTGGCTCCATGGCATATGTTGCTCTTGGAAACTATCCCTAATGCAGTCTATGCATTTGTTGTTCTAACTACCTTTCCAACTTGATTAATCCAATCAACATGAAGATTAAAGTCACCCATAATTATTGTTCTCCTCTTTTTAAATGCTCCTATTATTTGGTTTAAAACCCTTCCGACAAAATGGCTTCTGTTTGGGAGTCTATACACTACTCCTACCATAGTCGTCTTCCCACAACAACAACAAAACAGAAGTTGCTGGAAAAGTTTTAGCAGGTCTGGCAACATCAGTGAAGAAAAAAATCAGAGTTAACGTTTTGGGTCCGGTGACCCTTAGAACTTCTTTCCCTTGTTTTTTTACTTCCACCCAAATGGACTCTACATCATCCTAGCCTAGATCATCTCTCGCAATTGTCTTCATTTCATTTTTTTATTAAAAGAACTACCCACCCCCTTTTCCATCCTTCTTGTCTCTCCGAAAGGTCAAGTTTCCCCAAATTTAGAGTTCCCAGATTTGATCTCCTTGTAACCATGTTTCTGTAATGGCTATGAGATCATATTCATTTACCTCGATTTGCACCATCAGTTTGTCTAGCTTATTCCAAATGCTTCATGCGGTAAAATACAAAGCCTTTTAAGTTTGCGCTATGATCGAATTTACCTACATTTTTATGGTTCCTTATCATTATTGAACCGGCCCTCGCCAAGACCCAGATATTGGAAGGAAGACTACCTTTAGATATTTTCAATCAAACTGGTCAGACATGACATGCCTCTGAACAGGTGGGACTTCAACCTGGGCCTTCTAGTGCAGAGGTAGAGACACTTCCACTGTGCCTCAAGAGCCCTTAATGCCACCATGTTAATTGATTTCAACGTACCTTTATTGCATGCTCCGTAAGAAATCAAAGTAGTACTGTGGAACATAATATAACCAAGAGTGTAATCTCTTGATCCTTTCCAAGCAACATGTTCACCCATTTTTAACAACACAGTGTCTGTTTTGATTATTAAGTTGTTTGAAAGTTCTTAAAAAGATTGTTTGTTACTTCAGCTCAGAGGATTGGACCAGTTGTTGGATGTGCTGCTTTCTTTACTTGACAAGGATGTAGCTGAGAATTGCAAAAATTGCTCCCAGTACTTCATCCTCTTCAACAACTTTGTACAGAAGGTATAGTATGTAGATGGTATATTTTAATTGTGCTACCTGGAGAGTACACAAACTTGTGATATAATGTTAGGTTTTCAGTATTGGAGAATTTATATCCACAAAGGCAAATCTAGCCATTGTGGAATAGTTTGATTATCATTTCACCTAGTTGGAATGTAACTTCAGTTTGCTTATGATAAATCAAGTTTCGTTTTGTAACTTATTGAGCATATTATTACAACATACAAGATTAAAGTAAAATCTGGAATTAAGAGTCTGATGATGACCATGAAACCATTGTCAGTTGTTGGAAAACACATCTGGTTTACTAATGTAATTCAGGGAAGTAGACTGCCATCTTTATCTGGTCTGGCTACATGTGACTCCAGACTCTCAGAAATGTGGTTGACTCCGAACTGCTCTCTGCGGATGGGCAATAAATACTGGCCTAGCCAGCGACTCCCACATTCTGTGAATGAATAAATAAAACTTTCAGCTAGAAATCAGGCGTTTTTTAAAGTAAACTTTGATCCATAATGTTTGGGTACCTTTAGGATATTGACAATTTCATAAGTAAAAGTTTTTATTTAATTCCCTTCCTTCTTGCCTCCTTCCCCAACATACTTTTGTTTTTTCATGTCAAATGTGTTATTAGTTAGGTCCATGTAAGCAACATATACAGAGAAAAGGGAACTAAAGCTACAAATTACAGGGTTTTTTCTCTTGAACTTACCCCTTTGAAGGGACGTAATGGATTTCCATCTAATTCTTGTGACTTTTAGCATGTAATTCTGACTCCTGGATGATTTAGAGATTGTTTCACTTATTTGAACTGTGGAACTATTGAGTAGATTGAACTGTTTGTGATGTTTGAAGTGCTCAGTTGCTTTCTTGTCACTTAGGGTTTCAAGGCATGCCAGCTACTATTCAAACACTCTGCATTCAAACACATGCTTTGTTTTCTTTTGGGCCCATCAAGGCAGAACAATCAGGTAAGTATAAGATGCTTTTTTGATGCTTCAATAAAGTTATCCAGCCTTCATTATGTTTCTAAGTGGTAGTCCTTAAGTTAGCCTGTCAAGTAATCACTAGTGTAATCAACCTAGTCGTATGATAATTGCCCACTTTTCACATGTCCCTTTTTTGAGCCTTGTATTCAGTGGATCAATGGCAAAACTTTACTGCGTTTACCTAATTATGTTTTGTAACCTTGACTGAAGTAGAAGAATTCTAAGACTTTTAGTTTTTGTTTATGGAAAATGCATCTCAAAATAGAAGTAGAGTTAATGTTTCAAACTAATCCTGAGCACTGCTAAATTTCTCTAGTATCTGTTTGTTTGTCTTTTAGGCTTCCAGCATCCATAGTTTTTTGTTCTTGTCATAGTTAATATTTTACTCTCTTATCTAAAGAAAACTATATGTGCTAGTATTAATCATTTTCAGTTGCTTTTACTGAAGATAAATACATATCTTTTTCTGTCAGAATCGGCGCTGGAGCTCAGCGCAGGCCAGAGAATTCTGGTATCTCCATATCACTTTGGCATCACTAGTCCTACACACTGACATTTCATCTCTGATGACTGTTGGTGAGTTGAGATTTCATTCTTTTCGAGCATGTGTGTTCACCGTCAACAAATTATCAAAAAAAGTCAAAAATATTGTGGATCTCTGTAGGTCTTTGCACTTCCATGTATGTGTTAATTATTGTGTTCAAAAATAAGGAAAAGATGACAGGGAAGGAATTAAGATACTCTGAGATTTAGTGAAATGAGCCGATGAGGATAGAATGAAGACCATTATTCAGCAAGTCAACTAAGTAACTGACTGCCAATATGGTTGGTAATCCATATGGTGCATGAAATGTTCTTAATATTCACTTATTTCCTCAATGAAGTTTTTTTTAAATTTATTGCTAACTTTTCATTTGCTTTGTTCAATTGTAGATAATTTTGTACCATCATCTGTACTTTAAGCAGGGGAGGGGTAGTTAAAATACCTACTATCTGGGCCAGTTTCTGGGGAGTCATTGGAAGTAACCAAAGGAGACTGACTTCAATTTGTTCCTATCCCGGTTTATGGAGATTCTGCCCAGAGTTTTTTTTCCTGATTAACTAAACTGAAGACTTAAAACCAGAAATCGTAAATGCAGTGTTAGTTTCTACTAATGCCAATGCTTTGCTTTTCTAAGATAAGTGACAACTGTTTCAAATATGGGTAATTCAATAGTGAGGCCATATTCTTCGTTAAAAATAAGTTATTCTGCTTTTTACTTGCTGTATGCTTTAGATTTGAGAACTACTGGATTTATATTTGAAGATAAAATCTTTGTTTTCTGTTCAAGATCCTGGACCATATAAATGGCATACGCCATCCCCACAGGTACCTTTGCATCAAGATGTGGAAACACTCTTCAGACCTGAAGGACAGGCCTACCTGCTTGAGGTATTTATTTTATTCACTTAAGGAATTAATGCAGGCTGTGTTTTACGATAGGGCACTGTATGGAAGTTAACTGATATTTAAATTGGCTAGTACATGTATAACTAAAAATGTTGAGGGAGAACGCACACATAAACGATGAAAATCAAATCAACAAATTGAAATTCGTATTATTCGGGATGTGCATCATCTTAAATCCTTGATACAGTGTGATGTTCACGAGGACTTTCATGCTTTTCCAACTGTAAAGTGCAAATTTCTTGACAATGGAGCAAAGGGAATGCTAAAATTCATGATACAGGAAAAGGAAATATAAGATATTGTTACGTGTAATTTTGTAGTAAGTTGGAAGGATATTCAAACTGTTCAATTAACTGGTGCTTTGATGCTGTTTCAGGTTATGTATGCTATGCGAGAGCTGACGGGATCTTTGTCAGTCATCTCTGATATGGTGACTTATTGCTGTTTCTGCAATGAGCACTTCTCCTTGGTGCAAGTCCTACAGATAATTAAGGTAAATGACAAGTGTTTGGAAAGAGCATTTTATCTTATCTTTAAATCACGTAACATGGCAGCGAAAGTACTCTACATTGGACCAGAATGTACATGGTGATTTCTCTTGCAATAGACAAGTGGCAATAACAATGGACAATTGGCAGGGTTTTGAAATAGTGTGTCTGTTAACTAAGAATAAGCATCGAAGTTTCTTTAGTGATGTTTGTTTCAGGGTAATTATTTGTCAGGGCACCATGAGAAATGCCTTGGGATATTTTACAATCCAAAACGGGCTAGACATAGCTCTATTTAACCTTTGTCTTGTGTTCCTTCAACACTGGACTGAAGTATCACCCTAAATTATGTGCTTATCTCTGGAGTAGCACTTAATCCCGTGTCCTCCTAATTTAGGCAGACTGCTACCACTGGATAATGAGTTAAGCCTGGGTAGCTACCCACGTGATTCTGCCCAACTGTATTTTGTGTTGTGGATTCCTATTTATTCTGCATTATCAGAAGAAGGTTTACTGGATTGATACTTGAAATGAGCAGGTTGTGAAACGAGGAAAGGTTGGACAGACTGCGCTTGTTTCCACTGAATTTTAAGAGCTAGGGATAAACTGATTGAAATATACAAGATCCTGAACAGTCTTGACAACGTGGATGTGGAGAAGTTGTTTGAGCTAGTTCACAATTAGGGAGCATTGTTTGAAAGTTCAAGGTCACTCTTTCAGAACAAAAATGAGGAAATCTTTTTCTCTGACTTTTGTGAGACTTTAGAACTCTGCCTCAGAAGGCAATGGAAATGAAGTCATTGAATATTTATAAGACAGAGGAGATTGATTCTCGTTAGTGAAGGGAATCAAACATTATTAGGTTAGGTGGAAACAAAGAATGGTCTGATCAGCTGTGACCTTATTGAAAGGCGAAGCAGCCATGAGGTGCCAAATGACCGTATGTTCATGTCATAAATTTTCATGACTTAACTTCGACTGATTATGATTCTATATATACGCAAACTTTCGTCTTCATTGTTGGAGATTAAAGTACCATGTTCTCACCGTGTCATAACTACTTACCCACGTGTTAGAATTCGAATGGATTAAAATTTTAGTACTTGAGCAGATTGCTAATTAACCTACTTCACTATGTTTATTAGGAGCTTATTATAATGCTTGAAAATAAAAGTCACTGGCGAATTATCAGGTTTCAGTCTTCCTTGACATTTTAAACTATGCCTACTGTACCGATTTCCTTTTCGACAGAGTCAGTTGGAGACAGCTCCACCTCATGAACTGAAGAACATTTTCCAGTTACTGCATGAAATTCTGGTAAGTGAGTGATTATTCTTATCATTGCCATTTATAGATTTCAGTGCAAAGAAGGAAGAAATGCATAGGTTAGAGTGGGAATGATTCCTTGGTGTTAAAAGCAGTTGTGAAAATGCCAGTGGTCGGAGTGAGCTTCATGTTCCTTCTATTACTGATGATAAAGTTCTTCTTTCTGTGTTCAATCACGGAACTAACTGCACACCAAAAATATCAGCCTTAAGTGCAGGCAGTTGTAGAAAAGACTTGACCTGGTCCTACAACCTTCCCAAAACTATCTTTACGAAAGTGAAACCCTTATTTAGTTTATACTTGTTATTTCGAAGTAGCATTGACAGGGTTTGGAGCAGGCTACCTGGGAAGGAAGAATTGAAACGAAAGAAAGGATAGCATTAACACATGGAGGAAAAAAATTGTTTCAAAAGAAATTAATTGCTGTTGTCAAAGCACAAATTGTGGCTTTATTTTTGTAATGGCCTGAATAACCAATAGCAGGCTGGCTTGTTGACAGTACAAAAAGTAACTTTTAATTTTTAGATGGCCAACTGGCAGTCTGCATGAGGACCCCACCTAATCTGTGGCAAGGAGTCAATATTAAGAAAGTGTTCATTGATAACAGATTCTGTTTTTCCCCTTTCAACTTTTATCAAGGTCATTGAAGATCCATTGCAATCTCGTCGCCTGAAGTTTGCCTTCGAATCAGAAAAAGGGCTGCTAGGTACAACTTTCGTACTTGTCTTCAATTCTGTCACCCTGATCAATCCTTGTGCTAAATGTTACTTTTTGTGGGTGCCATTCTGTAACACTGACAACTCTTCAGTGCCATTGTTATTGGTTTATGCCCCATATATGTCTCTAGTAGCAACCTCAATTTTCACTTGTATAGCATTTTTAACAAAGAAGTACATCTTAAGATGCTTCCTAGGGGTGTACTTGGCTAACAGCAGATTTTGATCTGAGTCAACAAGCTAGATATAAAAGCTGGTTCTTAAAGAACAAAAGGAAGCTGGAGAGCTGCATGAATTTTTGAAAGGAATTTTGGAGCCTGCAGCCATTAGGTAAAAGCACATCCTCCAGTGATTGGTCAAATGGAAGGATAGATGATTAAGAGGCTAGATTTGTATTTCATTGGTTAGGAGGCTTTTAAGCTGTACCTGGCCTAACATCTGGAGGGCCAAGGCTGTAAAGTCTTTTAGGCATAAAAATCAATATTTTAAATTGGACCCATAAAGGAATACAGATAGCATTGCTTTGGATGAGACCATGTTTACCGAGGATGGAATACGAGCCGAGAGCATTGGTACGGCCATGTAAGAAGGTGACAAAGGCATGGACAAAGGTAACAACGAAGGTTGAGCCAAGTCTGGCTTAATGGAATGTGGAGATGCATGAAGACGCAAGAAACTTTGGGGTCAGAAACTTAATTTGGATTTAATAGCTTATCTAAGGGCAGCCAAATTAATTCATCCTGAGATGATTGCTGGTCAGGGAAATTGAGTCATTATCAAATTTGAAAATTTTATTGCAAAGGCTAAAACATCACCTTCAATCTTCCCCATGTTTAGCACCAGGAAATTCTTTCTCAGCCAGTATCAGATAGATTATAGATAAACAATCCGACTAAACAGATACCAGGGCCGATAGAGATAAATGTCAAGGTGTGTGTGGAAGTTGATCTACGTTTTTGTAATGTGGCTGGAGAGCAGCATGTAAATGATGAAGACAGGAAGGGTGATTGAGGGTAATCCAGAAGTAACAAACTGGGAAGAAAATAGTTTGGAGATCTTGTTGCTGCACATAGTTAACTAGGACTTGAAACCAAGCAAGGCATTTCAACCCAGCTGGACAATTGCAGGATGATGTTGTCGTCAAAACCTGGAGGAAGTATGACACACCATGGTCACTATCACACAGGATGTCAAGTCTAACTTTGACCAGGCCTGTTTCAGTGTTGTGCCATATACAATAAGCATTGCCAGATTGTCTGACAACACAATCAAGCCCAAAGTTTACATATGCATTTTTTAAATTGCTTTATTGGAAAACTGTTTTATTACGCCTGCCCTTTTCCTGGGTTAGTTTAAGCCATTTATACTTCCACCATTCCAGCTAAGATCACCTAGCTTAATATGTACCGTGGATTGAACCTCAGCCTTCCAATTATGAAAGACTCTGGACTGCATTTACCCATTAAGCCATAAGTAGGTAAATCATTGAATATTTTTCAACATCCGAGTTGTGTATTGTTTCCTATCCTCCTCCTCTTGCTCTGTATGCATGTATTTGCATATTGTTATGAGCCCAGCTAATGGCACGACTGGCTTCATAGATCACGTCATTAATTTTTGCAGCTGATTACCATGGAGGTTAATCACTGATACATATTCAAACCATGTTGCAGATATTCTTTAGCAGCAACATGTTTAATACACTAGAGAAAAAAATCAAAGCAATGCATAATACATTATAAATATATATGAAAGTCAAAACGATCTTAACACAAACAGCAAAACAAAGTTTCTAACTATTTCCCAACACTACACTTTTGTAAATATTAAATTCCAGAGTAAGTCTATTCCTGTCTCAGCTCTTCTTTACTTAATTGACTGCTCCCAGTTCCTATCTCTAGACCTTAGAGGCAGTTTTGCAATTCTTTTCGCAGCCCCCTGGCATAAATCATTCATAAATCTGATTGCCCAAACTGTTCTCAATTCTGACTGCTTGAGGATTTTTATCAAAGCTGTCCTGACTGAGAAACTCCACAAATCTAAAACACTTCGGTTCCCCTGAATTAAAAGCTTGATTCTCCTGCTGAGAAAAAACATTCTAGCTTCTGATTCCTCAGAACTGAAACCTTGAACCTTCTGAAGTCAAAATTAAAACAAGTGATTCTCTGTCCTCTTCTCAGCAGTATAAACATTCTATCCATTAACACTACAGGAGTTCTCTCAGGCACTTGACTTTTTTTGGAATTGATGCACATAGGTCAGTGTGCTAAATCACTTCCTGACCAGGTTTTAAAAAAATACTTTCAGAGAACTGACCCACATTCATCTGCCTCTATTTTCAAATCCAAATCCAATGGTACCACCCTCTATTGTATGCACAGCTAATGGGTGGTTTAGATTAACTGCACCAACTGGTGTTTTGTGTAGACCATCTGTAGCTTGACCTTGTCTCATATGTTCTGCCACTCTGCCTGAGATCTAGATTGAAATCATTAATGTTCTCTCTCTGCAGCCTTGATGCATCAGAGCAACAATGTTGACAGCAGTCGCTGCTACCAGTGTATCAAATTCTTGGTCCTATTAGCTCAAAAGTAAGTACTCCAGCTTAAAATTTAAGATTGATTCGGAAACGTGAGCATTGATTTTGCTGGTTATTTGTGGGCAAATTGTTGACTTTAAAGTTGGACAATGACTAAAGGTGATTCACTGTAGAGGGGGGAAAAGAGAACTTGTGAGCGGCTTGAGAGGTAATCCACAGACTAGCCGTAAAGAACCGTAGAAAAGTATGTAGAGAGGCAAAGACTAGGGAATGACGAAGAATATTGCCGAGACAGCTGAAAACACTAACTTACACGATTCAGGTGTGGATTTGAGTCTCAAAGCAATATGTCATCTTGTTTGCCTAATCTAGATGTTTTGAAAATTCTTCCCTTCTTCCAAAATGAGCCAAAAGCAATGAGTACTCATTTCCCTTTCAATAGATGTGCAGCTGCTAAGGATTATTTTCGGGAACATCCTCACCACTGGAGCTGGGCTGTGCAATGGTTACAAAAGAAGGTGAGGACTGACAGCAATGTATTTACCCTTTTTGAGACCAGTTGCAATCTACCAATGTTTAATATCAGAAAGGAACACAGATTGTAATCATCATTATTTAACTATGCAAGTAGTTTGCATACTATTTAACTATGTAAAAGTAGCATTGATGCCACAATTTTTCAAATATAATACATCTGGAAAAATATGATTTGTAGCATCCAAACATTGCGGGAAACATGCTGTTTTCAAAAGCCAGAGTTTCAATGAGATCAACAAGTAACCTGATTCTTCAAAGCTGTTTTTTAACCTAAAATCTGTTAAGGTCCTGACTGGGTTCCATGTGGAAGCACCTTAAAACATTACAGCAATTCTTAAAGATCAGTCATCTCTGGAATTAGTCTTGTTCTCTAAGACTAATGCAACTTGAGTTCTGCTAATGAAACTGCTAATGTCTTTTTTTTTTAATCTTCTGTTTAGATGTCGGAACATTACTGGGCCCCACAGAGCAACATATCAAATGAAACTTCAACAGCAAAGACATTTCAGCGCACAATTTCAGCACAGGTATTTCAACTTCTTTGGTTCGTATAGCAGCAATTAGACTACAAGGAAACAATGGATCAGTCTTAGGTAGAAATTTCAGAAAGACAAGTAGTGGTGCCCTTGTAAAAATGCTGTGAATAACCTCCATTTCTCCCCTTGGCTTTTGGCAAGAGAAATGTTTTGGGGGTATTGGAGGGAGAGTATCACAAAAGCAACTTAGAGTCAAAATTATTTAAGCAATCGGAAATTGGTTGTAACACTCTACTCTCAAAAGGAAGGAAATGCTAGCAGTTAGTGTCTATCCACTCCTAGGGGCTATGCAAAGTATTTCACAATCAAGTAATTTTTTGAAGATATGTTGCCAAATGCAATAGCCAGTTGATGAATAAAAAGGTGGCATTTGACAGTGTGGCATTCCTTCAGTGTCCAAATCCTAGACATCAGTTGAAACTTGGAACTGTCCAGCTAAGTAAGTGTACTGCAACCAGATCAAAGTGATAATTCTGATGTATACTGATTTTTTTTCTTTCTCTTCTCCTTTGAAAAGCTGACTTTATTATCCATCTGAAAGACTAGATATAAATACAAATTCTGCTGCATAGCATACCTTTATATTTCTTTGTATTTACTTTGTATTTCTTAACATTAATATTCAGTCTTGACCAAAACAAGATGTCAAGGCAGTGTGGAAAGTCTACATTTAAATGCCACAAGATAACCCTAAGACAACCAACCCAATGATTTATCATATTTTGTTGCAGGATACATTAGCCTATGCTACAGCCCTTCTGAATGAGAAGGAGCAATCTGGGAGTAGTAATGGGTCAGATGGCAGCCCTGCTACAGAGAATGGAGATAGAACTCTCCGGCAGGTAAGGCGGAATTCTTATTGAGTGTTTTGGGCGTTAGATATGTCTCATATCATTAAATTTTAGCAATTTAGTAGATAAGCAAGTCTGCAAAATTGGTCAGTCAATTTGGCATAATAGAATAGAGAAAGTGTAAACACTGAAAACTAACATTTCATTGTTCCAATTTCTTTAAAATGTAAAGAATTATTCCGTAAGTCTTAATCTTTGAAGAAGTCTTGAGTTGGTTTGCTGTTAGAATTGCCAATATCACAAATTTATACAACAGGAATCTGTAATGTGCATACACCAAGTAAAAATATGTGTGAAATAGAATTGATCCTGTTTTCTTCATTTTTATTGTAACCTGGTGAAGTGCATTGACACTCATCAGCTTACCACTCTACAGTATACCTAGGCACTGCACGGTGTCGTGATGATTAAAATATGTTCACTATCTGTGTGTTCACGATATAAAGAGAGACTTGCAACAGCAGGTTCACAAAGTAAAACCATTCAAAATTACTGCTTTTTGTATAATAAAACGGTTTGTAGGCATGAATGATGAAACTGATTCACTAATTTCTTCTAACTGTAAAATAACCTTAATACAAATAGAATCCTGTCATTACATAAAGAAACTCTATAGAGGACAAAACATAAAGCTTCAGTGTATTCTGATCTTCAAGAATAAGAAATGATAATAATGCTTCATAGTGCTATCTTTCAGATGCTTGGCTAATTTGCAGTGTACTCCCATTTTTAGTTTCCTCTCAATTATAATAGTGTGCATTGGAGCAGATTTTTGAGAAGCTAGCATTTGATAGCCAGATTTTCTCGAGCTATGTTTTGATTTTTGAAGGCTGCTTTTCCATTCTCACTAACTCACTTATTAGGTAATGCTATCACTTAGCAACAGTGCCTTCAGTATTGTGTTGACATATAGGGTATTTGGACTCTGTCATATGCAGAATTAGAATAATTCATCGATATCCTCATTATCAAACCTCCATTAAACACAAAGCCACAACACGTAAGAAAAGCATTCATTTCTTAAGCATCACAGTATTTAAATTGTTATGAGATAACACGATAAGTTAATAAGAGATTTAGTTTTTCAAAATAACTGACACTTGCTCTACACACACAAGCAGCCATCGCACTATACATACCTTCCGTGGACTGGGGAGGTCACAGGAAATATGTATCCTTCGCACATAAAGTTGGAACAATTGAATAAGGCAGTTACAACTGTATTTATTGTATCCCAGATCGCAATCACCCATTTAAATTTATTAGTTGTGTTCATTACAGTAGGGTTTGTTACATTTTTTCCAAATAAGTATTTATGCAGCCATTGCTTGAAATTACACATACATTTGCAAGGAATTCACTTCCTTAGCAAAAGGTAGTTTTCTTGGAGCTCAGGAAGCTGAGTACTACTCTTAAACTGGTCAAAGCAGTTCCGTTTCTTTTGTTGTCTCTTAATTATCACCTTTCATCTCTTGTGTCCTCCCACCTCTGCCCTACTCTTGCTGACTCCCCCACCCAAGACCCAGCAGACAGAATGCCCAGATCCAGCAAAAGACCCATTCTATCCTTGATTAAAAACCACCATGCATTCTGGCTAATTGTCGTTCTTAGTACCCCCCAGCTCTCACCCCACCCACTCCTGGACCTCTCCTCACCTCGCCAGCTCTTTGCTTCTTTCTACCAGCTTTTGGCCCACCTCCGACCTCATCTTCTAGTAACAAGTGCTCCCACTGTCTGCAGCAAACACAGGAGCGGAGCGGAGAAGTGGCTTCTCACCATTTTCTTCCATTTTGTTAAGGGGGGGGTGACTTTCCTCCTCTTGATCGCTCCAATGACTGAACATTACAGTGTGATTTGGGGACTTCTGGGGGCAGACATGCCTACTTCTCCTGTTTTCCACCATCCCCCCTGTGCTTTGAACAATGGTGACCAGCACTTAAAAGGTTAATGTTTGCGATTGTGAAACAACATATTGTCCAGCTTCTCTTTCCATCATTGCTCCTGTTGTTATATGACAAGCTGTCTTCAAAGTGATTATTTACTCCACTAACATTTTCCTTCATTTCTTCATTTTAAGGGCTCTGAATCTCCCATGATGCTTGGTGATTCTAAAAGTGACCTTGATGAAATGGACCCATAAGAGATGACTGAAACATCTATGGGAATAGTAAATCATCTTTGCTTGGTGTCAGTTCAGTGAAGGACTGGGCATAATGCCGGATGGCTTTAGGCACCAATCGATTAGGGGAAGATGTACGTACACCCAGGTTGCAGACAGCAAGCCTTTGCAAACTGTTATGGAGCCAATTTTGCTGACAGTTGAAGCTCAAGACGATGCAAGTCTCTCCCTGTTCTTTGAAGATTTTGTATGGAAAAGGATAACTCGTGGTTGTGCTTGTGAATATACAAAAGACAAATTTTTATCTAATGCTTTCAGTAGAAACTACGGAGGATTTGATTTAAGGTTTTAGTACAGTCTTGAGGAGAGGAGAGCTTTTTGATTTGTGTATAATAGTTCCCAGAGTTCAGACTTTTCAGAGTAACAAAATACTCTGTTATTCCATTATATAGATTTAATTTTATTTGTATAATAGAATATCCAGTAATTCTGTTCACTTGGTTGCAGCAATTGTGTCTTGAAATATTTAGCAGGTCTCGCTGTTTTGCAAAAAGGAGTTTAGGTTTACAAGACTGTACTGACAGTGCATACTGACAGTTTAACTTTAACAGCAATCTGGTACTTTATTAAATATTAAATGAATACTTTATTAAAGGCAACTCTTTTTTTCTTTTTAAATTCATGTGACTGGTAGCCATTTTCCAACGAAGTTAAAGTTGAGACTGTTTATTTTGTGTGAGGAACTTAAAGTCCAACCTTTATGGTCATTTCTAACAGATGGATTGAATTTTAGCTATCCATACTCGTGTTATAAAATTGCAAAAACTGGTCTGATCACATCATAAGATATATCTGTTTTTGGTTTTTAAACTAGCTATAATTTGTTTTAAAATCACTCTTCGCTCCTGTACAACATCACCAGAATATGTAATGGGCAAGTGTGTAATATTTATTTGGCTGAGTTCCCTTACACAAATTATTTAAGTTGTTATTTGTAGCTTCTGGGGTTATCCTGACAGGTTTGTTTTTGAACACAGATCATTGGTTGAAAATACAAGGCAGCAAAAAAGTAAAATAGTTCTTTTTTTAAAAAGAACTTTTTGTTGTTTGAGGATGCAGTACCTTTACAGAATTTACATTTATCCATCTCCCATTTGAAATAATATCTCAGCTAAGTAGGTAATTAACCTGTTTGGGACACTTCTTATAATATTGCAAAACCATCCAATGAAAGTTGTGCATACTGACCTGGCTAAGTATTTTGAACTTGTCTTTAAAAAATCACTAGCCTCACCTTGAACTTTTGGTAATGCTGGTAAGTTGAGCGCATGCTGTGGAGAATTGCTGGCACAGACTCACGGGTGGTCGTTCTGATGTGTTGAACGCTAGTGCTTCAAGCTTCCCACAATATAGCAGATATCATTTATCAGATTTATTTTTGCCTTGACAAGTTGCCAGTATGGTGGATGCTGATTTCCAGAATATCCCATATCATATGCATGGTGACACCCCATTACCCCATTAAAGGGTTATTAATTGTGGTCAATTGATTTAAAGTTTTGACTAATTACTATCGACTGTTAATAGACATATTACAACCAGTTACATCATTGATATTGCATGTTAGTCCAATACATAGCTGTCTGTATGTAATGGTACAGCAATGTTGTGGGTGTTAGCTATGAACTTGGGAGTGGGAGAAAAATTAGTATGGATACAACAGATCATCACTCTTTTATCTTTGATATAATAATTTCAATAGAAATTTGGCATAAATTTTGCTAATTAACAAAGCAAATCGATTGAAGCCTTGTTTGGCTTATGATAAACTACAATGAGAAACATTGAATTTTGTGGAAAGTTATTACTTTCTTCCTTGACTTCTAATTGGTTATCAATACCCGTTTAGTCCAAATATTTTTAATCTCTATTTATCATGTGTTGACCAATAAAGGTTTGACTAAGAGATTCTCAGCTTTTTTTTTCTAACCCAGGGAAGAATGGTGTCTCTTAAGTTAGTAACCCCAGGGGAGATAGAGTTGACATATTGGTGGAAAATACCCTGGATCTGCTGTATGAATAATTCATAATCTTTGATAAAGAGGAATGTCAAAATGATTTGTGCTATGACTGTCAAAAGTATATTAATTTCCAGTCCCAATCACTCTGAAACCAGACAATCACTTGCTGCAACCTAATTAATGCTTAAAACTTGATAACTACTTTAAGAATAAAAAGATTCAGAAACTAAGAGAACAGTTCATTTGGAATATTATGACAACTTTGAAATAATTGTAACCCACAAAAACATCCTGTTATTAAAATTTGGATTAAGTATTTAGAACAATCATACCTTTCTATCTTTTAAATTCTATTTAGAATTATTGTCACCTGCAAATAAATGGGACAATTATTAATCTTACACAAAACCAATTTAAATATAGTACTATTTTGGTGATATCCCAAGAACTTTTTTGCACCCCAACAATTTATTTCTGTTAATTTTGTCACCCCTCGCATCAGTTCCACCTGTAAGAGTAAATTACCACCTCCCAGGCTGGAAACCATAACAGTTTCTACTTTAAAATATTGCATGCAAATTTAAGTGTGAAAGCTGCTACACTTATTACAATATTTAGAAGCCTTAAAACAGTAATATCTGATTGTTTCAATCAAAGTGTGGAAGGAAAAAACTGCATTTGAAATGCTTCATTGTCTGACTCTAGGATGGTGTCGTTCACTAGTAGAGATTCATTAATATGATTTGCCTCCGAACAAAATTGAAACTGGGGTTGTGAATTCAGCTGCTGTAGTTGATCCAGGATTGAGCATAAAGTCTGGGGTTACTACTTGAGCATTTGTCCTTTTTATTATTAGAACATTTAACTGTACAGTGCTTTAATCCTTTCACTGGCCTGTGACAATGTAGAGGAGGACATGTAGTATAATGCTGTTTTCTGACTGGGTTTTAAAGGTGTTTGTATAACGTTTAAAAATGAACTTTTTTAAGTTGTTTGTTTTGTTAATGTATGTTGAATAGCTCTTTTTAATCAAAATGGTCACTTTTATGTTAAATTTTGTCTGCTGTTGGCTAACTTGCGCTGTATTCAAATTCATTTATCACTATAAGCAGGCTCCAATTAAGTTAAACGCCCGACCAATGTGAAACATGATGTTAATTGCTAACAAAGATGAAGGTAGTAATGTAAACCTAAGAAGAAATACATCAACCTGGAGGCAGCTTATTCTGACCTATATTTAGGTTATGCCAGTGAAAGGGGTAAGAGCATGTTGGTTTTTGTTTTTCCAGTGTTGTTGGAACCTTTGGAAATCTGAATACTTATCTGTGGATTGACTGCAGCATCACTTCCCATTGTTGAATCGTAGACTGACTATTCAATCTGCCGAAATGCTGCCATAGAATAATCAGTTAGGATGACATAAATTACCTCCTGGGAATCACTGGAAATCAATGAGATTGCTTGGGCTGAATTGTGCAAATGGAATGACTGTGTGCTGAGTGAGATACGCACAAGTCACGATTGCTATCAGCATCCCAGTCATTTTTTTAGCCTCCACTTTGTGCCAGTTTATGATTTTTTTTGGGGTGTGGGTGCAAGAGATTTTTGACATTAGAGGTGGTTTTTTGCCAATATTTCAATGAAATATTGCCTTGATCCTCTGCCTTACTGTACAGTCACACTATACCAAGAGTGACACACTGGGGGCAGGGCTTTTGTCAAGTTATGGTGTCTGCTCTGGACCACAAAACCAAAGGCACAGATGGCCACAAGTGCCTTTTTATTATTTTTGCTGGATCTTAAAATGAAGCCTTGGCACAACAAAATTACCAGGTAGTGGGTCAGATGCAGAGTTAAGATTCCTATGTGTCCCAAACTATACGCCTTATTCCAGTCTCAGAAAAACAACAGTATGACATTTCCATTTTCCACATTAAGCCTTTCAGGAGTTCTGCAAGGCAAACTCACTGTCACAAGAACCAGGTTTAGAGATTGTTTGAAACTAATTTTGAGTAAAACATTTACAGCCACCAGGAAGAGAATGTTTTTAACCTCCTGCTTTGGAGTTGAATTTGAATTTACAGAATTGACCAGTCTACTTACCTATTCCACTGCTCAGCCCTGGGCATGGTTTTTTTGGTTGCTGCTCCTAACTTTGAGTTTTGTTTATTTCAACCTGATAAGTACGTTCCAACAGCATCACTTTTTTAAAACTCGCCCTTGTAATTCTGTTTTGTTCCTTTTCATGTAACTGTGTCCAAGAGCAGAACAAAGTTACCAGACTTCTTAATAACCTTTATATTCAAGGCAGCTACATGGAAGTAAGCAAGGGAACTAAAGATTTTTCCCATCTTTGGGAGAATGGATTTTTGAGTTCAGTTCTTGCTGCATTTCCTCTGTTCCACCTCTGTTTTGTACCGAAGTCTGAGAAGTTATATTTGAGCCACTGTGCCAAAATGGGCTACAATTGCAATAATGTTACATAAACATAATCTGATTTAACAACTTGACCACTGTAGTTCAGACTGTTTACAAATTTCTCGCACTGATCTGACACTGGTGAGTACACTTCATCTCACTCTCTTACCCCTTCCTTCCCCAAAAGCTTGATTAACATTTCCACTATTAGAGTCTCAGATTAGGGGTCATAGCTCTCTATATATAACTGAACAATTGTATGCTGACCATGTTGTCAATTTAAATTTAATTTAACCAATTTAATGCTTTCTTTTCCCTTTTTTCGGATGACTAACGTAGTGATCGATCAGTGTGTTGTGTTTTGTTTTTAATACGTAGCCAAAATAGTTTTGTTATTACTGCTTGGACTAAACTGAGATATAAGTTGAATACATTAGAGCAATCAACGAGCAGAAAACTGCCTTCTTACTTCACCATCTCCCTTAGTTCCTAGCACACACACAGTACAGTCTCCAAATGTACACATTCCAGTTCAAAACACCCATTATTTATAGCTTGAACATCTCCAATAGTTCTGCTGACCACTTAGATGAGCAAAGAGTGAAATTTTACCCACTTGTGAGCACTAGCATTGGAAGCCATTGCCTCCAGTCAAAAGGACTTGCCTGGGAGTCGACAGTTTGTGGATAGAGAAGTTAATGTCTCATCAAATTAGTTCTCATCCAGCTGGGCTGAAAAATGGCATGGATCAGCAAAAGATATTACACACACACACGTGCACACCAGGAACAAAAACAGTAGTCGCTGGAAAAGCTCAGCAGGTCCAGCAGACCTGCTGAACTTTTCCAGCAACTTATGTTTTTGTTCCTGATTTATAGCACCTGCAGTTCTTTCGGTTTTTATTTAGCAAAAGATACTGTTTAATTACAATAAATCTTAGAGGAGTTAAACTTGCCTCTAGGTAATATGCAAACTATTCTAACAATTGAAAAATATTAGGCTGCATGGTCATCAAAAACAAATTACCTATTTCTGTTGCCACTTCTCCAAGTGGCTGCAGGTTGTTGTCTAAAAGTAGAAAGGAGGGGGTTAGAATGAGGGTTTTCATCTTGAATTGAGGTAATAGATCTTCAATGTAACTGCAACGTTCAAGACTTAGCTGCTTTCATCTTAAGTTAAATGTTCCTTTATGAATTACCAACCCCCATAGAATTTGGATTTCTGTTACAAGCCAGTATAGCTGTTCTGCAATTCATTGGGGATGGCTTGGAGAGAATTTAATTGCAGTTATTTTTACCCCTTTGAGTACTGGACTTTTATGCAAATGTCTGCAAATAAAACTGCTTAGGAATTTATGCATCATGAATGGACAGTGTTTTATTTTATACCCCGACCAGTCACTCATCTTTTCTTCTCTGCCCCCATAAACCCTGCTTCCAAAGGCCACACAATCGTATGCCTTTCTAATCGGTTTCCAGTTTCAAGGAATTCAGTGTACTCTTTTGCTCTAGAATAATAAACCAACCTTTTTTCGGACTAACGTTAATATTATCACACTTGTCCTTTCGTTTCAACGTGTAAATGTAATACCATATACATAACAAAGTAGCACTTGAGAAATGGATGGAACTATTGAGTTTTTTTTTTTCTAATTTTTAAGTAAAATTGTTGGTCTTATGTTGATAACCCTTCTAATATGATTTGTGGCTGTTTTGGCATAAACCATTGATTGCAATTCTGATGTCTTTTTACTAAAAGCAAATGGATTCCCAAAGACCAGTCACCATCCCAGCTCTTTGAAGTTAACTTTGACCTTAATTCAGAATAACAAAATGGAACTTAAAATAATATATCCAAACCACTTAACTTTTTGAGACGGTTATGATGGAAATGGAAATCCTGATGTTCTTGATGTGTCATTGCTGTTTCACTGTTGAATTGATCCTTTATTATAACATGGTTGTCTCCAGGGTGGATAAAAAATGGACAAAATAGAGGCTTCATAAGATACAGAAGGGCTACGCAAAGTGCATTGAAGTTTTCAGATCCTATGCAGTCTTGATTAGTAGTACTTAGTGAATCTGTAATTTGTTGGATTCCTGGGTATAATATTCTCCTTTTAAAAAAACGATTTCCTATAGTTTTTATTTAATGATCGCTTAAAAATATTTTTGATTTTGTAAAAGTATTGAGTAACTCCTGACAGTAATGTACTTTTTAAACATTTGTAACCATCTTAATTATTTGATTTGAATGTGCAATAAGTATGTTGCAGTCTCTTGTTAAAGAGAAGAACTGTGTTCCTCTGACAATTATAATTAAGAGCTGTACTTATCCAGTGCCATTGGTCTTCCTGGTGCTGTTTGGGAGAAAACATTCTTTGTTACCCCCAAAAATTCCATTGTTACAGAGAAAATAGGTGTGTCATTTAAGATACTTTTTGCTTTCAAAATGTTGAACCTCACTTGAGAAAATGTTTCCAAATTCTGTGTTAAAATGTTTTATCTGAACATGATGTACAGTGGTTCGATATTTTGCCTTCAAAATATTTCATGGAGAGAGAACAAATAGCAGTCTTTGTGAAGATCCTCTGATTTATTTTAAAGGAGTCGTGTAATCAATGTATATTCCCTCATGGCTGCCTCTCTTTAATAACCTGATTCTGTGAAAAATGTGTTCGTGTTATGCAGGATGTTAACTCTGTAAACTGTTTTTTAAAGAAAAACCTGAGTGCAATATCCCCGTAGACTCTGAAATTGGCAGAAAGGAGGAAAAGAATAAAATCCAGTCTTTCTGATCATTAGATTGCATGTTTGACTAGTATCCAATGGATATGGATGTTGGTCCAAAAGAAGACTCTTAAAGGCACACAGTTATTTGTGGGTGATTAACCCATATGGTTTGTGGGGAGAGAAATTGAATTTGTTCTTTAACCCAAGAGGCAAAAAAGCGCAACAAGCAAGGCTTTGTTTTTCATTCCTGAATCAATACAAATAATGGTGCATTGTCCATACGTGTTGGCAGTTGAGTTCTGTATTGCCCAGGGAATGTTTGTAAGCTGTAATGTCAATCTTCCTTTTCAAAAAAAACACACAGTATGAAAAGTACCTTAATAAAACAAAATGATTTTAAAAAGAATAAAGTCCCACCTAATCTGTTGGTTTTAATATGCAATTTTTCAAGCAAACATGCTTGTTATGCTGTGTAACCAAGAAATACAAGACCTTATAAACAGGTAACACTGAAATTAAGAGCATGCACCTTCTCAACCCAGTTAAGCATCAAATTTGATTCTGTAAATATGGTTAGTGCCAATCTTAAGCAAACTAGAATTTTTGTCAATTGTTTGTATCACAAGAAAAGACCATCTTGGATAACTCTTGACAAAACACTATTGCAGATTGCTTCTCAAAAGCATTTTTCTCAGTTGTACATTACGAAGGCTAACAGGCCTTAGTAATTGTTCCATAGCTAATTCTAGAGTTTAGAGTGAAACTTCCAACACCACCTGTATCTGTAACATGTTCCTCAAATGCTTTTCAAGCATTGTTATTTAAATTGAGTCTGCAGGTCTTAAACAGCTTATTGGACAGCAGGGTATTTCACCTGGGGCCTTTGCTAAGTTGCTGCTATTTCATACAATTTACTTTTTCCAAAATATTATCAATCACTGGAATGTGCCTATTCCATTCAAAGTAAAGTGTCAGAATCACTTTCTACTTTTCACAAACAGCTAACTTTCTTAAACACCTTGGTTTTTAATATATATATATATTTGTTTAGGAAATGTGGTTGTCACTGGCACAGCCAGCATTTATTGCCCTTGAGAGAACGATGGTGAGCTACCTTCTTGCACTGCTGCAATACATGTAAGTACATCAATAGAAATATGAGAGGGAGTTCATGATTCATTTATGAGGTATGGATATCACTGGTTAGGCCAACACTTCTTGTCCATTCCTAATTTCCCTCAAGAATGTAGTATCAAGCTTCCTTTTTGAACTGCTGTAGTTCATGAGGCATAGGTACACTGATAGTGCTGTGAATGAGTTCCAAGCTGATAGATCACCCCCAAATCCCATCCATTTAAATTTGTTTACTAACCATTTGTGTGGGACTTTTATTTAAAAAAAAACAACTTCTGAAAATCCAAATATATAACATCCACCAGTTCGAGCTCACTGACTCTGCTAGTAAGATACTGAAACAAATTCTGCCAGATTTGTCAACCGTGGTTTCCTCTTTGTAAATCAGTGATGACTTTGTCCAAACAGACATCAGTCTTTAAATATCCAGTAATCGCATCCTTTATTATGGAGTCCAGAATTTCCCTAAGACTGACATCAGACTAGCAGGTTCTATAGTTCCCTGTTTTTACTCTCGCTCATCTTAAAGTGTGGGATTAAAAAGGCCATGGTGAGTTACTGCAGTGCATGTTGTTCATCGTATGATTTGCTGCTACTGTGTTCATAGTGAAGGAAGCGAATGTTTAAGGTGGCGGTTGGGGTGCCAGTCAAGTGTGCTGCTTTGTTCGGGATGGTGTTGAGCTGCTTAAAATGCTATTGAAGCTATGTTAATCCAGATAAGTATTGCATCGTTCCTTTGACACGCACTTTGCAAAGCACAAGATTTAAGGAGACAGGAGCTGATTTGCTCACTCAGAATTCCTAGCTTCTGCCCTATTCTTGTAGCCACAGAATTTATGTGGTTGGTCCAGTTCAATTTCTAGTTAATGGTAATCCTCAGAATATTTATTATTATGCACTTGTGGAACGTACATGCTACTGGCTGCACCAACATTAATTGCCTGTCCAATGCTTCTGATGAGAAGGTCGTACTGAGCTGCCTTCTTGAACCACTGCAGTCCACATGCTGTAGCTTGACCCACAATGCCCTTAGGGAGGGAATTCCAGGATTTTAACTCAGCGATAGTGAAAGAATGGTGACATATTTCAATTCAGGATGGTGAGTGGCTTGGAGAGAAACTTGCAGGTGATGCTGTTCCCATGTATCTGCTGCCCCTGTCCTTCAAGGTGGAAGTAGTCATTGGTTTGGAAGGTCCTTTTGTAAGAATTTTTGGTGAATTTCTGCAGAGCATCTTGTAGATAGTACACACTGCTGCTACTGAGCGTCAGTGGTGGAGGGAGTAGATGTTTGTGAATATGGTGCCAATCAAGCGGGTTGCTTTGACCTGGATGGTGTCAAGTTTCTTCAGTGTTGTTGAAGCTAAACTCCTAGAGATAAATGGGGGAGTGTTCCATCACATCCCTGACTGTAGATGATGGTCAGGCTTTGGGCAGTCAGAATATGAGTTAATTGCTGCAGAATTCCCAAACTCTGACTTCTTGTAGCCACGGTATTTGTGTGGCTGCTCCAGTTATGTCTGATATTCTCAGCCTTGTTTATTCATCTGTACGTTCTTGCTTGCTCTGATCTGCCTGTACCGCTCATAAACAAAGCTTTTCACTGTATTTCGGTGCATGTGACAAAAAAATCAATCAAATCAAATCAAACCAACGTTCCTATCTCCTAAGCTTTCTCCAAACATATTAAGTGATAAGAAACTCTGCTGATTTGACCTGCACGTTTTGGACATCCCACGATCCTGTTACCCTACCATCACGTGTCTGTGTCCTCAGTTGCCAGCCAATGCATTGGAATTCACACCATAAAGCCTCCTGGATCTCTAGATCCCTTTGCTTTCAAACCATTCATAAAATCCATCTTTGACCAAGCACAATCCTCGTAAAATGTCAACCAAAAAAAATTGCTGGAGAAACTCAGCAAATCTGGCAGCATCTATTGAGAGAAAACAGAATTAACATTTTGAGTCCAGTGAGTCTTCCTCATAACTACAACCTTCTTTGGTTTGCTGTTCATTTTTCTTATATAGATTTTTGTTTTGATATTAAAGGCAGTTTTTGCAAGTTGTTTACGGATGCCTTTTTTTAGCAGCAAAGGCCAATTACTTTGATACAAAAAAGAAAGGACATTTATTTATCTGGAATATTGCTGGGAAGAGATATGTTGTCAAAAAAAAATCATTTTGCATTCATGAGGACAAATGCAAATATGTTAAATTTCAAAAGTTGACCACATTTGTACTACTCAAGCCTGCTCCACCATTCAATACAATCATGGCTGATCCTATCTCAGCCTCAACTCCATTTGCCTGCCCACTCCCTATATCCCTTCAGCCTATTACTAATTAAAAATGTGTCCGTCTCCTACTTAAATGTACTCAATGGCCCAGCATGCACCATCCTCTAGTTTAATGAATTCCACAGATTCATGGCCCTTTGAAATCTGCTACCCCTTCATATTCCATATTGCACCATGAGGAAATATCCTCCGTCCGTCTACTTTGAATCTCTCTTCATAAGACAGCCCCTTCATCTCTGGAATCAGTCTTCACTCACTTTTGGAAAAATATAGACTCGTTAGCAATAGGCAGCATGGCTTCATGCAGCAAAGGTCATATCTCACAAACTTGAGTAGATTTTATTGTCATGCGTACCTGACTACAGTGAAAAGTGTACAGAGTCACCACTCTCCTGTGACATCTTAGGATACAATAGTTTGAATTAAAAGCAAGAGCTGAAATTAAAGAAACAGAAATAGAAGGAAAAGAAAATGTCCAGATCACCCTTGCCTCCGCTACCATGAGTCTTGAGCCAGGCTCACCAATGACACAGTGCCAACACTGCTGCAACCGCCGCTTGGATGTGATTGATGAGGGCAGAGCGGTAGCTATTGTCCATATAGACTTCAGTAAACCCTTTGATAAGGTCCCTCATGGCAGACTGATACAAAAGGTGAAGTGACATGGTATGTGCAGTGAGCTGGTAAGATGGATGCAGAACTGGCTTAGTCATAGAAGAGTATTTTTCCAACTGAAGATCTGTGACCAGGGTGTTCTGCAGGGATCAATGCTGGGACTCCCATTGTTTCTAATATATGTAAACAATTTGGAGGAGAATGTAGGTGGCCTGATCAGTAAGTTTGCAGATTGGTGGACCTGCGGATAGTGAAGAAGATTGCCAAAGGAGGTGGCAGGAGATAGGTAAGCTGGAGACATGGGCAGAGAAATGGCAGAGAGAATTTATTCCAGACAAATGTGAGGTGATGCATTTTGGGAGATCTAATGCAGGAGAGAAGTACAAGGAAAAGGCAGAACCTTTAGCAGCCTCAACATACAAGGGGATCTAGGCATACAAGTCTACAGTTCCCTGAAATTGGTAACACAAGTGGATATGATGGTCAAGAAGTCATGTGGTATGCTTGCCTTAATTGATTAAGGCATAGAGTATAAAAATTGACCAGTTGTTGCAGCTGTATAGAACTTTAGTTAGGCCCCATTTGGAATATTGTACACAGTTGTGGTTGCCACACTACCAGAAAGATGTGGAGGCTCTGAAGAGGGTACAGAAAGGGTGCCAGGATGTTTTGATTTGATTTATTGTTGACGTGTACATAAGGACAATGCCAAAGTTTTGTTTTGAGTGCAGTACAGGCAGATCATAACATACAAGGGCACACAGATCATTGGGTGTTTAGACAGAGCGAGGCATACAGAGTTATGACTGCACAGGAGGTGCACAAAAGCAAGATCAACATTAGATTTGAAATTATAGAGAGATCCATTTAGCAGTGTAATAACAGCAAGAAGAAGCTGTTCTTGAACCTCTTGGTACGTGTGTTTAAACTTCTGTATCTTCTGCCTGATAGAAGAGGTTGGAGAGTATTGCTGGGATCGGAGAAGTCTTTGATAATGTTGGATGCCTTTCTGTAGCAATGAGAAGTGTAGGTGGAGTCCATGGACAGCAGGTTGGCTTGCATGATGATCTGGGCTGTGTTCACAATTCCCTGTAGTTTCTTACGGTACTGGGTAGAGCAGTTGCCATACCAAGCCATGATGCACCCAGATAGAATGCTTTCTATGATATGTCTGTAAAAGTTGGTGAGAGTCCTTATTGACATGCTGAATTTCCTAACCCATCTGAGGAAGAAGAGGCATTGTTCTGCCCTCTTGACCATTGCAACTACATGGGAGGACCACGGCAGATTGTTGGATATCGTCACTCCTAGGAACTGGATGCTCTCAAGCCTCTCTAACACAGCTTTGTTGATGTAGATATGGGAGTGGTCACCAGGCAATAGCTATGAGGAAAGATTGGATAAACTTGGTTTGTTTTCACTTGAACGTGAAAGGATAAGGTGCAATCTGATTGAAGTTTACAAAATTGAGAGGCATGAATATAATGGATCGTCGGAGTCATTTTCCCAGGGTAGAAATGTCACTTGCTAGGGGACATAGCTTTAAGGTAGAATGCGGTAAGTTGAAAGGAGATGTGAGGGGCAAGTTTTTTTTTAACACAGAGGGTGGTAAGTGCTTGGAATGCGCTGTCAGAAGAGTTGGTGGAGGTAGAAATATAATAATAACGTTTAAGAGGAATCTTAACGATATATGGATAAGAAGGGAGTAGACAACATAGAGGCAAAAGGTTTTTAGTTTAGAACGGCATCATCTGTTGACGCAGACATGTTGGGCTAAAGGACCTGTTCCTGTGCTGTACTGTTCTATGTTCTTTGAACATCCTCTGACCTGCCTCCAATAACATCTGCAATAACTTCTTGCAATAACATCTCTCCTCAAATAAGGGAACCAAAAGTTGTATACCAGGTGCAGTCTCACTAATGTCTTGTACAGTTACAGCAACACTTCCCTACCTTTATACCTTATTTCTTTAGCAATAAATGCCAAAATTCCATTTGCCTTCTGTATCTGCTTTCTGCAAATGTACGTGAGGACACCTAGATCCCTGTACACTGAAGCCTTCTGAAGTTTCTGTCCACTTGGATAATAAGTAGCTTTTTCTTCAACCGAAATGCTTAACCTCCCACTCATCCACATGAAATTTCAACTGCCAAATTTTGGTCTATTCATCTAACCTATTGTAGGAGCGAAACCCTCCAACTGGGGACAAAGACTCAGGAGGCAGGCAGGATTCAGACACGTTTTTATTCTTATTGAAGCAATCACTGGTTCATGCAGGGAGAGGGGCAAAGATTTTCCCGGAATCTGGCCTCGACGTGAGAACCCAGTTGTACCCTTAATCTTCAGGTCAGATCGGAAGAGAGATCAATGACCCTCTGATTTTCACAGTGAGGTACAACATTTTTGTACATTTTGTGTTGCAATAATCACATACAACGTGGCCACTGTGCCCTTCTGTTCATTGTGTATGTCCAGTCCTGTGAAACATCTAATCAATGATGGGCACTCCTATGAACAGCCGCAGGTTCTCATGATGTATAACACTGCAATCTCCAGGCCTTGGGATCTTTCTATTCATCCTATTAGTTTGCATTCCAAAGTTACTGGTTATACTCCTTCGGACTTGCGTATCTCTAAGGATAGCTTGAATTCGGTTGCCCCTTGTATTCCTTTGCTATCTCTATCAAATTCTGTTACTCCTCATATATTTTCCCACTGTCCTAATTATACGTAAAAAATACAAGGCAGTTGGTTCTAACTAACAGCTATAAGATTTGTAATATTAATTTCTATTATAAAGTTAGTTACATGTAAAGTTTTACAGCTACTTCTACTGTTAGCACTCTTTAGCTAATGAATTGCAAGCACTTTGTTTTGCACAGGATGTGCCGGGCGTCTTTTGAGTGATTTAAGTTTACCGAGATGAATTAACTTTCACATCTATGTTTGAATGTTTTCCCTTAATGCTTCTATTATATTTTGGTTATGTATGTGTATGTAATTACATTGAAATCCATCTCTTTGATTATCTGAAGAATCTTTAACTAGAACCTATTTCTTAATATTGTAAATAACTTCAAAGAAACAACTGATTACTACAAAATAACTTCAGCTGTTGTTGTCACAGCTGCATGATCAGTTAGGCTGACTGTCTTAGGGGCTGAGATTTACACTTTTTTTAAAAATGACGCTGTTCAACAAATGGGACAAAATCCTTTCATTAAGGAGGCTGGAATCAATCGCTTGTCGTAGTTTAATGAATTGGTGACTATCCTTGAACAGTCTCTTATCAAACTATCTCTGGCTGTACGTGCAGGGTCCCCCTTTGACCTTGGAGTAACCCCTGTTCCACTGTGTTTCACTTAAATGCCGAAGCAAGTATTTAATTCTGTTTCCATTACTTGTCTGTCATTTTGAGTCTAAATGCTGGAGTAGGCTTTTTAATTTTGTTTATCCCTAGTCAGCCATTTTGTGTCTTTCAAATATGGGCAGCCCTTACACCTATCCACAAGTAAATTTCTAGTATCTTCATTGCAACTTATTTTCCCACCTATTTTAGATGCAAATCTAGTGACAGTAATGCTGATTCATTGCCACATCACCTCTGGCTGAGGCATTGCACAGAGGAAGCAACAGGGATCTACAGGTTCCCAGATAATTCATAAGAAAGTGCAAGACTTGAAAATATTCCTTTTGTTTACAAAGAAAGGCTCTCTGCCTATGAATGAATGTCTTTTCTGTTAGTTTCTGTTTTCTATGATGATGATATTTCTCCTCTGCAACATTTTTCTAACTTTGGAAAAGTATAACAGGCGTTTCCCTCTGACCAAAGTTCAAATGGTTGCAGATAGGCCAATTGCCATAATGATACTTCAAAAAGAAACAGAAGAATTCTAGTGTTTTGATATATTGTGTTATAATTTAACTCCATGACCCGTATGCCTCAAATGCTGCATGCTTGCTACATCGGCAGAGCTTGAAGTGAATACAGTTGTCTATGCAGGACACAAATAGTTAAAGGCGAGCTTGCATTTCTTAACATCACTTGCTTGTAGAATGTGAAGAGAAAGGGAAGTTTAAAAAACTATCGAAAGCTTAAAATAACTTGATTTGAAAGTTTATTTGCATTACACTATTCTCTCATTCATTTTGCCTAGTTGCCATCTCTACGGCCTGGCCATATCAATGAAGTAGACTGAAGGCTAATGCAAATTGTGTAGTTGCCATGTTAAATACTGTCGACATGCATATAATGTCCTTTCTTTTCAAAGAAGTGCTGACAGTTGAAGAGCTCCAGTTCACCTTGGTCTATGCCAATGTGTTGAGGCAAAAGAAGAACAGTATACCGAAAAAGGAATTTTAGATTTTTTTTATTAATAAATGTGTCAAGCATATAAAAATCAGTACAAAAATGTAGAGTGTAATCACACAACCTCAAAAGTATTTACAAATGTTTAGAGCAAATGGAATCTGGTGGAACAATGGAATATTCTGATGCTCAGTGATGTGATCCTGTGAATGAACTAATTTTTTTAAAAAGAAACAACCTTTGCTCATGCAGCTATTCCAGAAACTTGCAGTCACTGGTGTTGGTTTAGGGTGATTTTTTTTTCTCTGTGTATTTGATCTCTCTGCAATGAACCAGGCTGAGGTGGAATACAGTTCTGAATTGCTGATAACCTTTCGCTATGTTCTCCCAGCTGCTGTTTTTCCTGCATGAATATACAGTGAACAGAGTAATTTAACACACAGCTCATTATGCTCAGCCGAAACATCTTAGAACACTTAGATGTTCTTCCAACAAGAACTTCTCACTGTTGTATTTTCCTCTTTTGTCCAATGACACTGGAACAAATTACACTGTCCAAATTTCAACTCTTGCTAAGATTGGCTGACAAGGGATCAAAATTGGAATCTTTCTGCTCATAATCCCAACCCTGGAGAGTGATAATAGTTATTTAAAATCTGGATGTGAGGCTGTTTGTCCAGATGCGTTCTTTGGCTTTGCTGAGCTAGGGAAACAGTATGACATTGGCATTCATACTCTCTTCCTAAACCTGTAATATTTCATATAACCCAATGGCTGAGCAGTAAGAAACCTAGAAGTACCTCACTATCATGCACAACTGCAGTGGTGCTGGGTGCTTCAAATAGTATAAATGGTCAAATTCTAACAACAAGTACCTTTTCCAAACATTTCTCCGTGCAGATGGTTGGTTTGCTCCTTTAGTAATGGATAATCATTTGTAATTAAGGAGGGAAATAAATCCTTGAAAAATTAAAGTTTAATAGAAGCAATGAATTTGGAGTTTTCACTGTTGTGGAGTGAAAGATTTCTGGTATTTTGTTTCCCTACCAGAAATGCTCACTAAAACCTCAGTTTAAAAAAAACTGAGAACATTCCAGTGTCTAATCTTGATTCTTCCAATGACATGGGAAAATATCAAATTCTCTTGTCTATCACTCTGCTTTTTCTAAGTTTCACCAGAAATCACGCTTCTTTTCATTTCATTACAAATAGTTTGAGGTGCAAAATCATTGTACTACCCATCTCTACCTTTCTTAAGAGTCTCAACTAAGACTTAATAGTTCAATTAAAACTGTTACAAGTGGTAGTATGAGGGAAACTGCCACAGTTTTGATAATGCTTTATACGAACTGAAAATTGTCAATATAAAGCTTACTTTTACCTATCCAATACCCATTATTTTAATTGATAATTATTCAAATCAAGAAGATATTGCTAAGACTATAGAATAATTTCATTCTTCACTTCCACTGTTCTTCCATTAATTTCTCAAAGTCTAAACACCACCATATGTGATGCTTGTTCTAATCCGACCCCTTTAGGCAGAGATTATCTTGTACTGCTAGCTGCAGTAGGTGATTTTGAATGGAAATAGATACAAAAAAAATATTTTTACACCCACAGTTAAGGTGGATGGTGGGTTCACAAATTCTTCAAGTACTGGAATGACACGCCGCATTTTCCTCAGTTCAATATTCGTTAAAGTTCAAAGTATGAAGGTTCATTTCTCTTCTGAAAAATAATTACGATGAGCAGGATCACTATGCTTACTGACCTGTCATAGATTACACCACTATTCACATTTTCTCTTTACAAAGTGATTTCCAGGCAGTCATGTTTTCGGAGCATTGAACAAAAAAAAAGTGCCCAAACTAAAAGTTGAATCAAACAGATTGTCTTCTAACATTGTGGCTTTCTACAGAGTGAGTGAGGCAGGGGGTAAGGGTGTTGGATGGAGAGTGGTTAGTTTCTTACATTCGATTGTTATTCATTGAATGATACTATGCAGTATATAAATGTCAAAAACAGGTTAAGATTAAACTCAACTGTCCACATAGAGAGCTCACCAACACTTGCCACCTAATCTAACAAGTAGCAAGATTGGTTACTTGAGCAAAGTAATAGAGGGCTGCCCTTTCTCAGGACAGTGAATGGCATCTCAGCAAGGGTTTGTGCCTGCAGGAAAGGAGGAAGGAAAATGTGAGGAAGGGACAGCTGGGAATGTTACTTATAATTAAGGTGGGTGTCATGCTTCAATTCTCTTCTTCGTTTGCGGCAGCAAATGGCGATAGCTGCAGCACCTTTCCCTTTTCCTGAACAGGTTACTATACAGGTGCTGTCCACAGCGTACGCTCCATGAGTGTGAGAGCCATGGGAATATGCATTGCACCCAGTCAGTGTCCAGCCTTCATCGCATGATACCATCACCTGGGAATTTAAAGCAACTAGTTAGCAAAAAATAAAATAAAATAAAATAATTCCACTCCAATCAATCTGGACAATGGATATCAACTGCCATGGGTGTAGTGTCGTATTCCTGATCAGCTACTGAAAACAATATTTAGCTAAGCCAAGCCTCACTGGGTTGCAACTCACTTTTCTTTACAAAAAGATCTGAATTGTCAAAATCACAGGATAGCCTGTTGGTACTTTGTCAATTCAAACAAAGACTTCAAAGCAAAACATGTTCCTACATACTATTAGAATCTAGGTCTAAAGAAACAATAGGATTGCTGCGAACGATGCCATTACAATTGAGATATCCTTTCCCAAAAGATCACAAGACATTATTTAAAGAAAATGATAGGAACTCTTTTGCAAAATGTTACACTGCTAATGTAGTTTAACTTCAGTTTCTTAAAAGCTATCACCCTAGTGTGGCACGGTAGCTCAGTGGTTAGCATTGTTGCCTCACAGCACCAATGACCTGGGTTCAATTCCAGCCTTGGGCGACTGTGGTGTTTGCACATCCTCTGTGTATGTGTGGGTTTGCTCCAGTTTCCTCCCATGGTCCAAAGATGTGCAGATTAGGTGGACTGGCTATGCTAAATTGCCCATAGTATCCAGGAATAGGTGGGTTAGCCATGGTAAGTGTGGGGTTACAGGGATATGAGGTCCAGGTTGGTGTGGACTTGATGGGCTGAATGGCCTCTATCTGCACTGTAGGAGTTCTGTGATTCTTACACCCAGACTTAACCATTCACATTAGAACTGTGATCACTGCACCAAATGTTTGCAATGTTTTTTGCATAGATTAGGTACTCCTACAGCTTTCCAGTTGATTGAATCAGCAAGTATCTTTTTTGTGATGGTCAGAAGAATCTTTTGCAAAATGTTTTAGGCATCTTACCAGTGACAGCATTCTTAGTACAGAACTAACATTAAATTAAGTCTTATTCTGGGCAAGGATATCTGGTGATCATAATGTCTGATATTCACCAAAGAATGGTGGAGAACACTCAGAGACAGTACAGGTAAAAGTAATGTTTGGTTTACTGATGGTTGATTTAAAAAAAACTTTGCTGCCCAAAAATTGGATTTCACTTTAGCAGTATCAGTGATCAGTTAACCTCACCCTTACCAGACTATAGGGCTGCTTTCTCATTAGAGAGAGAGAGAGAGAGATATGACTGGTGGTGATTTAACCTCAGGGCTACCACACCTCAGGTGAGGGGAGAGATTGAAAAGGACAGTCCTTCATGGTAACCTAAGCCAGTAATGAGAATTGAACCCACACTGTTAGTTTCACACTGCTTTGTAAACCAACCATCCAGCTAACTGATCAAACTTCTTTCTTGCTGCTAATATACCCGTCTCCGTTTGCTAACCAAATAAAAAAACAGTTATAAGACAATTTAAGACCAGAAGACAGAGAAGCAGAGACAGCACACTGAAGTATGCTTTTGCTTTTTTGAGTTCATGGTTAATCCTCAACTTCACTTTACAGCCTTTTCCCCCATAACTCCCTGATTCCCTTACTGACATAAAAGAAAAATCACTCGGTCTTGAATGTACTCAACGACCCAGCCTCAACATCGATTTACTACTCCTGAAGAGAAGAAATTCCTTCTCATCTGTTTTAAATGTGTAATCCCTTATTCTGAGATTATGCCTGCTGGGCCTAGACTCTTCCCCCAAGGAGAAAGAAACTTTCTGCACCTATCCTGTCAAATCTTCCAACTCCAATGAGTACAGGCCCAATCTACTCAACCTCTCCTCATAAGACAGACCCCACCAACCTACCATCAGCCTAATGGACTTTCTCTGGTCTGCTCTAATGCCACTATCTCTTTCCTTCAATAAGGGTCTGACTAGTGCCTTGTATAGTTTTAGCAAATGTCCCTACTTTAATATTACATTCCCTTTAAAGATAAAGGCCAACATTTTATATGTCTTTCCTATTACCTGCTAAATTTATATGCTACTTTTTTAGATTCATGGATGAGGACTCCCATGTCTGAACTACAGCTTTCTATAGTCCTTTTACAATTAAATAATATTCAGTTCTTCTATTCTTACTGCCAAAAGACATAATCCCATTTCCCCAACTGTATATTCCATCTGCCAAGTTTTTGTCCACTCATTTAACCTGTCTATATTCCCTTTACGGACTCTGTCATCTCACCACTTGCTTTTCCACCTGTTTTTGGTGTCATTCATGGCTATAGTACACACTTGGCTATAGTACATTCGCTTTCCTCATCCAAGCCATTAATATATATTGTAAATTGTTATGGCCCCAGCACTGATCCTTGTCGTACACAATTAGTTACAGGTTGTCAGCCTATAAATGCTCCCCTTGTCCCAACTTTGCCTTCTGTTAGTTAGCCAATCCTATATCCATGTTAACATTCTACTTCCAACACTATGGGGCTCTTAAGTCATCAACCACCTTCTGAAAATCCTAATATTATGTCCATTGCTTCCCCTTCATCTATACTGCTTAATACCTCCTCAGAAGAATTTTAATAAATTTCTCAGACATGACACCGTGCCAGCTCTGCTTGATCATACTATGTATTGCTAAATGCTCTGCTGCTTTATTCAGCATAATGGTCTCTAACAGTTTCCCAATAACAGATATTATACTAACTGGCCTACAGTTACTCCTGTCTTCTTCCCTTTTTAAATAAAAAAGATATTACAGTGCTTTTCCAATCCTCAAATTTTTCCAGAATCTAAGAATGCCTGGAGGATTACTACTAGTGCACCCACTTCCTTTAATTTTGTATGATGCATCTCATCTGGTCTGGGGGACTTATTGACCTTTAGCCCCATTAGTTTCCCTGGCATTTCTCCAGTGAGCGAGTTATCATATTTATTTCCTGTCCTTTTGTCATTGAATATTTAGTAATTTCTTTTAATTTGAAGGCTGATGCAAAGTATTTATTCAACTTCTGTACCATTTCTTCCTTTTTATGCATTTAAAGAAGCTCTTGCTGTCCATCATAATGTTACTTATGAGTTTACCCTTCCTGTGCCATCCTTTGCTACTCAGACAGGCCAAAGGGATAGAATAGCACACATTAGACTTTGTTTAGAAGATGTCAGAGATACAAGTCTATAGAAAATTGAGGTAAACTGACATCATGGAGATTTAGTAACAACACAAAAAAGTGCATTTAAGTAAACAGCCAATATTTTACAGGAGGTGTGTGGTAGGTGCAAATCTCAGACAGAAATCCAAGACCAAGATGTACAATTTTATCCTTTACAATCATAATTAAAAACTTCTGCTATATTTTTAAAAGACAAAACACCAGTAGGTTTGGGATATGACACTGGAATCTAATATGATACTTTGCATGGTAATTGATAAGTCTGCCTAAATGCAACCTAAATATTGGAACATGACAAACATAGAATACTATAACTATATGTAAAAGAATCAGAGGTAAGTGTTTGAATGTGAAAGTAAGGGCTTAGTTATGTGCCTGGTAGTCCTCCAGTTTTCTTCATAAATGGACCTGGCCATGTTTAAAAAATTAGTGAAGATTTATTGTTACTATGCAAATGTAGAAATTTAACTTTCATGTCCAAGCTGCGGCTTTCCTTCAGCTAAATTAATTTTAAATGTCTATATTTGGAAACTTTAAGGTTTTCCCATTTCTCTCTCAGTCATTAAAATGATGCTACATTTTAAAAATTAATCCAGCCAGTGTTTAGAACATAACTTCACCACCTCTGGAAAGCCTGTGGATCTCTGTTCCTTCACCTCACACTCGAGACTTGGTGCTTGGCAACACGTAGCATGTGAGGTCATCCCAGTTTGTCCTGTACATTGCTGGTTTGTCTGAGGTATTGCTGTATCACTATACTTCGTATGGGAGTGTGAGCTGCAGCCTGAAACACAAAGAGCAGGGCTGAGAAGTTGTATAGAACATAGAACAGTACAGCACAATACAGGCCCTTCGTCCCACGATGTTGTGCTGACCTATTATCCTATTAAGATCAATCAATCCTGCATACCCTACATTTTACTATCCTCCATGTGCCTATCCGAGAGTCGCTTTAAAAGGCTGTAAAGTATCTGACTCCACTACCGCTGCCGGCAGCGCATTCCACATGCCCACCACTCTCTGTGTGAAGAACCTACCTCTGACATCTCCTTTATACCTTCCTCCAATCACCTTAAAATTATGCCCCCTTGTAATAGTCATTCCTGCCCTGGGGAAAAAAATCTCTATCCACTCTATCTATGCCTCTCATCATCTTGTAAACCTCTATCAAGTCACCTCTCATCCTTCTTCACTCCAATGAAAAAAGCCCTAGCTCCCTTAACCTTTCCTCATAAGACCTGCCATCCAGTCCAGGCTCCTCTGCATCCTCTCTAAAGCTTCCAAATCTTTCCTATAATGAGGTGACCAGAACTGAACACAATATTCCAAGTGTAGGCTAACCAGAGTTTTATAGAGCTGCAGCATAACCTCACGGCTTTTAAACTCAATTCCCCTGCCAATGAAAACCAACACACCATATGCCTTCTTTACAACCCTATCAACTTGGGTCATAACTTTGAGGGATCTATGGACGTGGACCCCAAGATCCCTCTGTTCCTCCACACTGCCAAGAATCCTACCATTAACCCTATATTCTGCATTCAAATTCGACCTTCCAACATGAATCACTTCACACTTTTCTGGGTTGAATTCCATCTGCCACTTCATTATCAGACAACCCAAGCCTATTAAAACAGTCTGGAAGCATCACTTACCAGTGAGGACATAGTCCTTATGTAGGCAGCCTGCCATTTGTATAGCGCCATCAGCTACAGAACTGGTATTAACAAGACATTCAGCTCTTGGCCAGATGCAGCACCTAGCGATTGCGTAAACTCCTTGACTGCCAAAGGCATTATGAGCTATACATTTCCTCATCCCCTGGGTTTCCTAGGTTCCAAATAGTAAAGACAGAGTTAGAGTTTTAAAAATGTAATGACGAGGACAATGTTATAAGTGCTATTGCAGGTATTGCAAAAAAATTTTATTTTTCAATTTAACGAAATGGAGGAAAGTGTGAGTTATGAGGGGCAGCATAAAAAGTGATCATGCCTTTATAAAACCCACAGTAGATATCCTTCAGCTCTAGGTAACACAAACACAAAGGTGCTTGCATAACAAGACTTTATCGCCAATTTCATTTTGTACTTCTAGTCTTAAATCTATTGTACGATTGTAAGCATCTCCTCCAAATAAAACAGCAAATTCTATTTTCAGAGAAGATATTTTAGTTGCTCTAAGATTATGTAATATGGTATTAATTAAAACAAGAGAAGCCACAAGGGAAATTATGAGTAAATGAATTTTTATCTGCAGAGAATTTCCATCCATATCTCTCTCCTGATGGATTTTTTTCCCCACCAGATAGTATGGAAATTACCATGTTGTAGTCTAACTCATGAGGATTGGCAAATTGGGAGTGGAAGCTGGAATGTAAAATGTACTGTCCTTCCGCTCGATTAAAAAAAACTCTTTGCTGCAAACTCCAAAGTACAAAAGACCCCATCTCTGAATCTGTAAGAGCAGGCATTTGTTATTTTTCAATAGACATTTTGATGATTAAATATACAGATAAAGAAGCATTTCTTGTCTAAGTTTCTTACCCCATCCTCCCAACAATACATTTTGATTCTCCCTTATAAATTTTTGATAATGCCTGTCTTTAAGCAAATCTTTGTCTTGTTACGAATATGGTATTCTAGTTGTATTCCAATAGTCCATCTCTGTCCTCCATTTCTTGATGAGCTTTTAAAAATAACCATCCTTCCCTCTTTTGTTCCAGTTTAATGGAGATTTTGAAATAGAGTTTATACCATTAGATGCTTCATCTCTTACCTGTACATGTTCACCCCTCCTTTTACCGTTCTTCGAAAAACTTGAGCAGCTGAACATTTCCTCATTCTCACTGCAAAGCACTACAGCTTTAGCTGAGTGTGCAAGCCCTGACCTCTTCGACCATACTGTCCGGCAGAGCAGCTGATCGCCTGTGGAAAAAATGATGGAACCATAACGACCTCACTAGATTTTCCCTTCCACTATGATGATTTTGGTGTGGCCGAGAAGTGTTGACTGAAGGGATGATACCTACTATACGCGAAGACCCTGAATTTCCTGGGAAATTTCAGTGTTAAGAGCGCAGGTTCCCATGAGGAAAACTACACATATGTAAATTCAAGTGGATATATGCCCTGCTGTAGAGTTATACACAACAAAACACTAATCACTGGTAAGAATAGCTCAAACCCCATTTTTGGTGCCAGTCTACAGATCCAGTAGAATTTGAATTCTTCATTTCAGGATTGTAAGTCAAGCACCATAACCATGATTACTGTGCACTTTGAGTGTCAGGGACCCAAAATATGGTAAGACAAGACTTTTAAGTGTATTTCTGACATGTATTTCTTCCTACACCTCAACAAAACACAATTTAATCATTTTTCAAATGATCTACAGCTAAATGTTAGCATATTGAGCGATAAAGGAATAAATGTTTAGACTGGTTTGTGATATGTCTATTCCTGTTTCTCTGTACCATCTATCTACCGTATCCACAGGGTCTGCACTTTGAGCATAAACAAACCTCAATACCAGAATATCTGCACTAATGCCTTTCAGGTTTTTTTTGTTTAGAAATCAAACTGTAATGCTATCTGGGATAGATTACATTTGGGAATATCATGACTGACTTACTCGTATTGAATCCCTTACCTGTTAGCTCAGGAGAAGCCAATCGTGCAATTCTGTTGGGTGTGAGGAGTCGTTGTTCCTCTGGAAACCACACATCATTGATTGCATTCTTTGTTGAATAATGAATTAGTCTCTGGCGTAATTCAGACACAGTTATATTGGGGTCAGCATTCATTAACATTGCTGCAACGCCTGTCAAGGATGAAACAAGTTAAAATGCAATCTCAAATAGAATGTTGAGACACTAAAATGATGATCTGTCCTTTGATTTATACAAAAGAAAACATTGCTGTGTTTGAATGGTCTTAGTTGTGTACCATATAGTAAAAGCAGAATGTTTTTAAACGGGGAGTTTAACTTCCCTGAAGCTTAGAACAGAGAGCTCATTTCAGAGAAGTAGCAGATTTAAGGCTGTTAGGGATAGTGTTACAAAAATACACATGTTCCAGGAAATTGAAGTAGGAGAAGCCATTTGCACCTTCAAGCTTTAATCAGCAGTGATGGTTGTATTTCTATCTCAACTCCACCCTCCTGCACTCTCCCAACGTCCCTTCATTCCCTCAAATCTATCAAAGCCTGTCCTGAAAACACTTACGACTGAGCATTTACCGCTCTCTGGGGACAGAAAATTCCAAGAATTTACAACCCTTTGACTGGAAAACTTCCTTGCCATCTTAGTCATAAATGTCACCACAAAAAAAAGGGGTTTATAAAGAATTAGACTAAAACATTGCCGATACCAGCTTTTATCCAATCACAAGCTGATACTTTAAACTGGAATCTTATCACTAATAACACCAAGCTCAGAGAAGTGACACCACCAGGATGGTGGAATGATTCCCATATACAGCTTGTTCAACTCCAGTAATTTCTCAGCAATACTCAAAGTAACTGCCCCACTCGAAAAAGCAACACTATGCTTAAGAAATAGTATTCAGAGGAGATGCTGAATAATGAGGTGGCAATGTGAAATTTCCCTCACTGTTTAAACACAGCAATCTCCAGTAACTCTGCAACAACTAAAGTTAACAATTCCCTTAGACACTGGGAACTGATCCCATGACTTAAAATGCTGCACCAATCGTTTAAGCACTGACTGTTTATGCCCTTAGACTAAGCCCCCTGCTGGTGTTACTAAATATCATTGATAGCACTCTGTACCTGTCACATGAGCTGCCGCCTGTGATGTTCCACTCTTGGAGGTGAAACAGGTCACACAGTCACTGGAAGCACTAATGATGTCATCGCCAGGGGCAAAAAGGTCAACACAACGACCAAAATTAGTTCCCATGTTACCAGTGGTGGTTGGCTGGTCATTATAGTTTGTGGCACCAACGGTAATTACCTGAAAGTTTCATGTAGAATGTGAAAAAAACAAGCTGATTAACAGATCTTTACAATTTACTTTTGACCCCTTGTTTTGGTTTTTCCCTCCTATTAGGTTACTCTGATGTGATACATACATCCTTTATCTGGAATGATGAACGAGCCATATCAAACAAAAATCAACCTGAACTGACCTAACTGGCATGGGTTTCGAATCATACCTTACTCTGATCCTCACCTCAACGTCTCTTGGAATTTCTGCTCAGGGTGCAAGGCCTCCTGTCTGCATGCTCTTCCTGACCACTCAACTAGCCACCAGGAGAAGCAGGACAGCATGTCTGTCATGAGCCATCTATCAATTTGATTATTTCCAAGTGTCACACTAGCCCTCCAACCACAACGGCCCAGCTTTTGCAATGCCCTGACAGTTGTTTTTCCAACATAGGTGGATGTTGTGCATAGGAACCCTGCACACTCTAAGGGATTTTCCTGAGAGATTGGAGATTCTGCTGAGCAATTAGCTTATGCCTGGAACCCTCTGAAAGTATCAATTTAAAATCAGAAAATTGGGAGGGTTCCAATGGAAGTAATTAAGTAAATAAACTAGATTAATTACTCAGGAAAAGTCAGCATATTAAACCAAGGAGCGTACCTCATGACTAGCAGACCCCATGCTTACCTCACATCTCTACCAGATCCCATACACCTCCCAGACCCTGACCTGATTCATCCCCTCAACCCCATTTGGCACCTGACCACCCCTCTCCCACACTGGATCAGACACCCCCCCTTTCCCTGCTCCAAGCCAGACACCTTCCATCCACATGCTTTCCCTGCTCCACACTTTACCCACCCACCCTCCCCCAGCCAGCACTTCACCTCCCTACCACTCCAAACCTGGACATCCCCACCTATGCCACAGCTAACAACTGACATCCTATCCCTTGCACCTACTGCCTATCTAGCTGATACCCTACTCACCTAGAACACTGGCATCCTACCCAGCTGGCACCCAACTTAACTGACACCCTAACTGCCCCCCGACTTCACCCCACCCCCTTCCCATTCATCTGGTACCCTACTTACTACCCTTTACCCATCTGGCACCTTTCCCTGCCAGCATCTTAACATGGCACTTATCTGATGTACTTATGGTTTGACAGTAAGTGTCAAAGTAACTGGCTGGACCTTTAAATGCTGGAATACAGCAGATAGGTATTGTGAAAGACAGTATGGTTTACCTTCCCCGAAAGAACTAATAAGAAGAATGGACGAAACACACCTCTGGTTCAGAAGCAGGGGAATACAAGCAAGCGTCATCCTTGTAATTCCCAGCAGCTGCAATTAATGCTACTCCCGTCCGTGCCAACAGTCTACACGCAGCATTCAAGGTTGGACTAAATCCCCCAGCGAATGGCAACAGCACAATCAAAGGTTGGTAAGGCTGGAGAATCAGAGTGTTCCTGATGTACTCCAAACCTGAAGGATAGTGGAACAGAAACAACATCTTTAAAGTTCTCATTTTCCTCTATTCTTTCTCCAAACCCTCAACAGTTTATGTCTCAGTCTTTGTTTTTGCTTCTTTGGATGCTCCACACCTTTGAAGTTCTTCGCCACCTCTCAAATGGAAGAATCCTGAAAAGTATTTCAACAAACCTCCCTTTTCAGTCTGATACACCTATTGCAAATGCTGAAAATCGAGATCCCAAATCAGGAATACAAAATATTTTATGTAAATAGTGTCTTGAACTAAATATTTGAGATGAAAATGATTTATTCCAAAAAAAGGGCAAATATGAAAAAAAGTACAGTGACATTAAGAAATAGTATATATGCAGTTTCAGTTTTACAGCTTCTAGTGAATTGTTATTTTACAATTGATCATATGAATTTAATCAATTATGGAAGAGATACAATGTCATGGAAGTTCAAATGCAATGCATCTCTTAATACATATGCAACATTCACTGTCTAATTTTCTTAATGACTGAATTTTTAAAAAAATTATTCACAAAACATGGATGTTGCTGACTTGGCCAACATTCATTGCCCATCAGGCAGTTGAGAGTCAGCCATATGGCTTTCAGTCTGGAGTCACATGTCAGCCAGACCAGGTAGGAATGGCACAAAAACAAAGTTGCTGGAAAAGCTCAGCAGGTCTGGCAGCATCTGTGGAGGAGAAAACAAATTTAAAGTTTCGGGTCCGGTGACCCTTCCTCAGAACTGATGGTGGCTGGGAAAACGTCAGTTTATATGCAGAAAATAGGGAGGTGGATGGGGTAGGGAGTAAACGATAGGATAGAGCCCAAAGGTAGAGAAAGACAGTTGGACAGACAAAGGAGTTGCTAACGATCGGGCTGGGAGAGTGAATAGTTGTTAATGGGGACTGTTAGTGACTAACAACGGGGGGTGTGTAATGGCAGGCTTTGTGGTAACAAGGCCTGGTGTGTGGGGTGGGGGGCTGGGACATGGGAGAGTTTAGGCCCTAAAATTATTGAACTCAATATTGAGTCCAGAGGGCTGTAGGGTCCCCAAGTGGAAAATGAGGTGTTGTTCCTCCAGCTTGCGCTGGGCTTCACTGGAATACTGTAGCAAGCCGGAGACAGAGATGTTGGCCAGGGAGCAAGGTGGTGCATTGAAGTGGCAGGCAACAGGTAGTTCAGGATCTTTTTTGCGAGCAGAACGTAGATGTTCTGCGAAGCGGTTGCCAAGCCTATGCTTCGTTTCCCCAGTGTAGAGGAGACCACGTTGTGAGCAGCGAATGCAGCAGACTAGATTCTTGGAAGTGCAGGTGAAGTGTTGCTTCACCTGAAGGTATGTTTGGGCCCTTGGATACTGGGGAGGGAGGAGATAAATGCGCAGGTGTTGCACCTTCACCGGTTACAGGGGAGGTGTTGGGGGTGAAGGAAGTATGGACCAGGGTGTCCCGGAGGGAACGGTCCCTGCGGAAAGCGGACAAGGGAGGGGAGGGGAATATGTGTCTGGTGGTGCTATCTTGCTGGAGGTGGCAGAAATGGCGTCTGATGATCGTCTGACCCCAGTATCCAAGAGCCCAAACATACCTTCCAGGTGAAGCAACACTTCACCTGCACTTCCAAGAATCTAGTCTACTGCATTCGCTGCTCACAACATGGTCTCCTCTACACTGGGGAAACGAAGCATAGACTTGGCAACTGCTTCGCAGAACATCTACGTTCTGCTTGCAAAAAAGACCCTGAACTACCTGATGCCTGCCACTTCAATGCACCACCTTGCTCCCTGGCCAACATCTCTGTCTCCGGCTTGCTACAGTGTTCCAGTGAAGCCCAGCGCAAGCTGGAGGAATAACACCTCATTTTCCACTTGGGGATCCTACAGCCCTCCGGACTCCATATTGAGTTCAATCATTTTAGGGCCTAAACTCTTCCATGTCCCAACCCCCCACCCCACACACCAGGCCTTGTTACCACATAGCCTGCCACTACACACCCCCTATTGTTAGTCACTAACAGTCCCCATTAACAACTATTCACCCTCCCAGCCCGATCGTTAGCAACTCCTTTATCTGTCCAGCTGTCTTTCTCTCTCTTTGGGCTCTATCCTATCGTTTACTCCCTACCCCACCCACCTCCCTATTTTCTGCATATAAACTGACGATTTCCCAGCCACCATCGGTTCTGAGGAAGGGTCACCGGACCCGAAACGTTAACTCTGTTTTCTCCTCCACAGATGCTGCCAGACCTGCTGAGCTTTTCCAGCAACTTTGTTTTTGTTCCTGATTTACAGCATCCACAGTTCTTTTGATTTTTATTCAGGTAGGAATGGCAGTTTCCTCCCTATAAAGGACATTATTGAACTTGATGGGATTTTCCTGACAAAGGATAATGGTTTCATGGTCATCAGTAGACTTTTAATTCCAGATTTTTATTGAATTCAAATTCCATCTGCGATGGCAGGATTTGAACCCATGTTCCCAGAAACTTGGTCTGGGTCTCCAGACTAATAGTCTAGTGATAATACCATTAGGCCCTCACCTCCCCCTTGATCTGTTCATTCAAAAGTTCACTCTGATACAGTACAAAGTCAGTATTTCTTATAGAACGTGTACTCCTAATCCTAAAATTCTCTGCATCATAAATGAAAATAATTCTGCAAAAAGGACTCCGATTGTAAATGTCATGGGGTTGGAAGGTGCTGTCTAAGGAGCTTTGGTGAATTTCTGCAATGCATCTTGTAGATAGTACACACTGCTGCTACTGGGTCTCAGTGGTGGAGGGAGTGGAGGTTTGTGGGTGTGGTGCTCTGGGGAAGCAGCTTCACCATCTCAAAGTTAAGGAGATGATAAGCAGATACTGCTACTTTAAATATTACAATCAAGTTGCTGCAGCATTTGCTCCATATTCAATTAGGTTAGTAAAAAAACACATCTAATCAAAGCTTAGAGATAGTAAGAACTACCGATGCTGGAGTCAGAACAAAGAACAAAGAAAATTACAGCACAGGAACAGGCCCTTTGGCCCTCGAAGCCTGCACCGATCCAGATCCTCTAACAAAACCTGTCGCCTACTTTCCAAGGATCTGTATCCCTCTGTTCCCTGCCCATTCATGTATCTGTCTAGATACATCTTAAATGACACCATCGTGCCCGCCTCTACCATCTCCGCTGGCAATGCGTTCCAGGCACCCACCATCCTCTGCGTAAAGAACTTTCCACGCATACCTCCCTTAAACTTTTCCTCTCTCACCTTCAAATCGTGACCCCCTAGTAATTGAGACCCCCACTCTGGGAAAAAGCTTCTTCCTATCCACCCTGTCTATACCTCTCATGATTTTGTAGACCTCAATCAGGCCCCCCCCTCAACCTCTGTCTTTCTAATGTAAATAATACTGATCTACTCAACCTCTCTTCATAGCTAGCACCCTCCATACCTGGCAACATCCTGGTGAACCTCCTCTGCACCCTCTCCAAAGCATCCACATCCTTTTGGTAATGTGGCGACCAGAACTGTACATAGTATTCCAAATGTGGTCGAACCAAAGTCCTATACAACTGCAACATGACCTGCCAACTCTTGTACTCAATACCTCGTCCCATGAATGAATGCATGCCGTATGCTTTCTTGACCACTATCAACCTGCGTTGCCACCTTCAGGGTACAATGGACCTGAACACCCAGATCTCTCTGTGCATCAATTTTCCCCTGGGCTTTTCCATTTACCACATAGCTCGCTCTTGAATTGGATCTTCCAAAATTCATCACCTCGCATTTGCCTGGATGGAACTCCATCTGCCATTTCTCCACCCATCTCTCCAAACTATCTATATTCTGCATTCTCCGACAGTCCCCTTCACTATCTGCTACTCCACCAATCTTAGTGTCATCTGCAAACTTGCTGATCAGACCATCTATACCTTCTTCCAGATCATTTATGTATATCACAAACAACAGTGGTCCCAACACGGATCCCTGTGGAACACCACTGGTCACAGTTCTCCATTTTGAGAAACTCCCTTCCACTACAACTCTGTCTCCTGTTGCCCAGCCAGTTCTCTATCCATCTACCTAGTACACCCTGGACTCCACGCAACTTCACTTTCTCCATCAGCCTACCATGGGGAACCTTATCAAACGCCTTACTGAAGTCCATGTATATGACATCCACAGCCCTTACCTCATCTATCAACTTTGACACTTCCTCAAAGAAATCTATCATGTTGGTAAGACATGACCTTCCCTGCACAAAACCATGCTGCCTATCACTAATAAGCCCATTTTCTTCCAAATGTAAATAGATCCTATCCCTCAGTATCTTCTCCAGCAGCTTCCCCACCACTGACGTCAGGCTCACTGGTCTACAATTACCTGGATTATCCTTGCTACCCTTCTTAAACAAGGGGACAACATTAGCAATTCTCCAGTCCTCCGGGACCTCATCCGTGCTCAAGGATGCTGCAAAGATATCGGTTAAGGCCCCAGCTATTTCCTCTCTCGCTTCCCTCAGTAACCTGGGATAGATCCCATCCGGACCTGGGGACTTGTCCACCCTAATGACTTTTAGAATACCCAACACTTCCCCCCTCCTTATGCCGATTTGACCTAGAGTAATCAAACATCTTTCCCTAACCTCAACATCCATCATGTCCCTCTCCTCTGTGAATACCGACCCAAAGTACTCATTAAGAATCTCACTCATTTTCTCTGACTCCTCACATAACTTCCCTCCTTTGTCCTTGAATGGGCCAACCCTTTCTCTAATTACTCTCTAGCTCCTTATGTACGAATAAAAGGCTTTGGGATTTTCCTTAACCCTGTTTGCTAAAGATATTTCATGACCGCTTTTAGCCCTCTTAATTCCTCATTTCAGACTGGTCCTCTTAATTCCCGATATTCTTCCAAATCTTCGTCTGTTTTCAGTCGCCTAGACCTTATGTATGCTTCCTTTTTCCTCTTTGCTCGTCTCACAATTTCGCCTGTCAACCATGGTTCACTAATCTTGCCCTTTCTATCCCCCATTTTCACAGGGACATGTCTGTCATGCACTCTAAGCAACCTCTCTTCAAAAGCCTCCCACATATCAAATGTGGATTTACCCTCAAACAGCTGCTCCCAATCCACATTCCTCAGCTCCTGCCAAATTTTGCTATAGTTGGCCTTTCCCCAATTTAGCACTCTTCCTTTAGGACCACTCTCGTCTTTGTCCATGAGTATTTTAAAACTTACGGAATTGTGATCACTATTCCCAAAGTAATGCCCTACTGAAACTTTAACCACCTGGCTGGGCTCATTCCCCAACACCAGGTCCAGTATGGCCCCTTCGAGTTGGACTATTTACATACTGCTCTATAAAACCCTCCTGGATGCTCCTTACAAATTCTGCTCCATCTAAACCCCTAAAACTAAGTGAATCCCAGTCAATGTTGGGAAAATTAAAATCTCCCATCACTACCACCCTGTTGCTCCTACATCTTTCCATAATCTGTCTACA